ATTTTTAACAATGTTCTCAGTAAATCACACATAGTATCATTTAGTTCAGTTGATGTTTTAATATTAACAATAAATGGAAAAAATAATAAAATAATTATTTCAAAATGAACAGAAACCATCTTCTGACAGTGTTAAATATTGAGGGAGTTGACAAAACTGAGGGACTTAACTAATGTCCAACTGAGGTTACAACAACTGATTGACAAGACAACAAATTAAGACAACTATTTCTTTTTTAAATTAATATTTAATTTAATACGACAATCCTTTTAGTGGTTTGTTTCTCCTTTTAGGGGAACAGTATGTCTTATTCTGGGTCTCCAGTAACTCACAGAACATAAGAAGCGTATGTTAGGTTGAGTTGAGTATCACTGTAAAAAAATATTGTTGGTTTAACTTGAAAAATGAAGTAACCTGGTTGCCTTAAAATTTTAAATTCATTGAACTGGAAAAATTGAGTTAATCCAATGAAGGAGATTGATTTAAGCATCAGAAACTCAAAATATTATGTTAACTGAACTACATAAATTAGTTAAGTTGATTTGACAAAAGAAAAAATGTTGTGACTACAAATCATGAAAATATATTTTTTTACAGTGTGTATTGATAAGCATTGTCATGTGCCATCCTGTAGCAGAAACAGAAATCTTCCCAATGTGAATCCAATTAAATTGGAAATTCGTACATTTTATTTGTGCCGACCTGCATGACTTAAGCAGTGGGAAACTGGCATGTTAGTTAGCTTTCTATGAAGTCCATTACATCATGGTTTGCTATTGCGGTGATCAGGGGCGAGTTACATAAACTGCTAAGACTTGTCTTACAAGTTATTAGTCATGAAATCAAGACTTCAAGACTGTTCATAACTTTTTAAAGTTGGTTACATAAAAATGTACACTGTTTTAACATAATGGCTATGATTATGCAACTGGCCCCAGGTTGTAAAAAAAAAAAATGTTACAAATTTATTATAGAGAACTGCAATGTTACATAAAAATTGTGGATACTCATTTTTGAATTCATGGTGACAGTAGATGTAAAGATGCTATGTATATAAGGCCAAATATGTAAATAAAATTATGAAATAACATTAGAATAATTCCCCATATGCAAAACAAAGGATACAATTTATTTTAAGATGGTGTAATTATAATGATTTATCCCATAAATATCCACAGAAACTATTATGTGACAGAGTTAAAGCTGTTAAAGCTGTGACTGAGTAGACTTACTTACTATTTATTCAGAATTATAAAAAAAAAAATCCTGACAGAGTTGACAAAATGTGAGGACACAACTTCAATAGACATTTTTTTTAATGGAAAATTTAATTTATATGTATATATATGTATACCCCCCCCCCCCACACACACACACACACACATATATATAATATTGTTTGATATAATATATAAACATTACAATATACATATATTTATATTTTTTTATATAGGCTATGTAAAAAAAAACAATTGGTAAATGTATGTGGCAAGTAAATCTTAGCCTGTTTGACATTGCGAAACTCATCATGATTCAGGACCTTCTGGATACGACAGTAAACAAAGATTGTTTGAACATCTTTATAACTGATTCAATTTCGATAACACATTTTAAAACCAGATTTGCATTTCCTGAAGGAATTCCATAGACCTTCCTTCTCGGAAGGCAGAAATCGTTTTTTATGAATCATTATTGACACTTTCACAGCGTTTGTGTGGTTTGTGCCTAGAGTACTAGGGCCTACTTTGTACATTTTGAATAATAATAATAATAATATTAAAAAACCTTCCGATTTCAATTTAACCTATATTAGGTAGACTTACACTGTCTTTTAAATGTAATAAAAAAAATACAAAAAAAAACACAAATTGGTGTGCATTCAGCAAGCATCAATATTTAATCCCCATACATGACTTTAAATATGGCCTAAGTGTAGTTTAAATATAGTCTAAGTAAGAATCAACAAGGTAATGGAAAGGAAATGTGTAAACATCCAAATGTCTCTGGAGGCAACGACAAACATGGTGCATCATTAACTAATGTAACAGGTTTCAGAGAATTAGGTTTCAAACATGTCAAACCGTGACAAGGCTGGTATACACATAAATGTTTGGGTTAGGGTTGACTTGTATTGTATGGTGCTTATATTTTGAATTAATCAAAGACAACAAGAAAAGCTAAAAAAAAAAAAAGTTTTTTTTTTTTTTTTTTTTTTTTTTTTAACATTTCCAGGGTTTTAAGGAGCAGAAGTCATAGTTGGGTAAACTTATAACCTATAGTGGGGAATGGAAACTACAACAGTAACCTAGCTTATACCATAGCGTTTATATGAATTTGTAAAAGAGGTCAAAAATATCGAGAGATTGATTATGTTGGTCAGAGAGAAAGATGTGCCATATGATTAATTTGCCATTCTGAAATATTAAGCAGCGTTAAAGGGATACTTCAGGATTCATCATTAAGCTTTGTATTAAAACCAGTAGTATTTTCAAGTTACCATGCTTTCCACCCTCATATCCCCTTGAGACGAGAGATTTATGTATTTTTAGTCTGGAAAAAAACTTTTAGGCTAAAGACTACAGTCAGTATTAGGGTCTGTCCCGCATGTTCTCAACCCGCCCATATACGGTGGACCTCACTCACAGAATGAACACATAGTGTCAGCCATCTTTTTTTGGAAGCTTAGCTTGCAGGCTCTTGTTCTGTGGAGAAAGCTGAGTAGTAGGGGTGACCATCTTCTTTTTCCCGGACATGTCCGGGATTCAGCTTTTGCTTTCTGCAGTCGCCATTCATTGTTTACATGCACATCTAACTCAATTCATTCCGATTGATGAATCTGAATGTATTGTTTACCTGAACGCTAAACAAGTGAACGGTTGATGTGCGTTTTAACGTTGCTAAGAAAATTCCTGCTCCTCCGTGAGAGATACGGTGTGTCTCACAGGCGTCGCTCATCGGTAATGCCGCCACTGGCCTCGCGCCGTTCTCCTGGGGCTCTCACTCGTCCTGCTCACCACAGTAAACATAATGAATGCCGACTGTGGAATGCAAAAGCTAAATCCTAGACATTTTGGGCGATCTTGAAACACATTTTCGGGCAAATATATTTTACATTCGAAAAATATTTTTTAGTCTAGAAAGCTCCAAATTCATCAAATTCAAATGCATCATGCACTGTCCATCTCAAGAATCTCAATTGTCATCAATTTTTTTCGACTTTTGTTGTTTCAGTGCCTCCTCAATTTTTTTTTAAAAGTTTAAAAAAAAATTCCGGTGCCCATCCTTAATACGCGATTAAAAAAATATGCACACACACACCTTAAATTTTCCGCCACAGAATTTAAAAAAGAAATTGCGACTTTTTATCTCACAATTCTGACTTTTTTCTCTGAGAATTGCAAGATAAACTCATGATTGAGGTATGAAGTCACAATTGCTTAATTTTTTTTATTTTTTTTTCTTCAGATTTGGACTTTACATCTCACAATTCTGAGAAAATTCAGAATTGTGAGTTTTAAAGTCAGATTTAAACTTAAACTATTGCAGGTATATATCTCACAATTCTGACATTTTTCCCTCACAATTGTGAGTTTAATTCTCACAATTTGATTTTTTTTTTCAAAATTGCGAGAATTAAACAGTTGTGAGTAAAAAAAAGTATTTTATTCTTTACCTTTTAAAATTTAAAATGATCTTTTATTCTGTGGCGGCAACACGCTTCCATACTACCACAGACTAAAAAAAAAACTAAAATATAATTGACTTTTTTTCTCTCAATTGAGAGCGATAAACTCACAATTTGAAAACAGAGTTGCAGGAAATAAACTTGCATTTGCGAATTTATATCTTTTTATTCTTTTTTTTCTTACAATTCAAAAAATGTGTTCTCATAATAGTGAGTTTATATCTTACATTTTTAAGAAAAAAGTCAGAATTGTTAGTTTATATCACGCAATTCTAAAGAAAAAAGTCAGTCGCAATTGCCTTTTTTATTTTTTATTCAGTGGCGAAACATTAGCGTCCACAACGGCGCATATTAACATTTGTTTATTACATGCGCACACTGCAGTTTTGTTGTCTGCCACTGAATGTCATTGTCGAAAGTGATTCCAACGAAATATCGTTCCTCTGTGTCATTATCGTTATAGTTGTGGTGTTGACATCCCAATTAGAAGGTTTACCAAAACTTAATAGTTATAGGCAAAGTTATCATCATTGGTGTGAATGGGACTTAAAGCTGCACTATTATGCCTGCGATCATCACAACACCCGCTGTTTACTGAGGATTTGATGACTAACCATCCAGAAAGACTAGGCTATTAATAATATAAATCTTACAAGTTTTATAGGTTAAGCAACACATACAAGATAAACAAATCTTAGATTTATTGTATTATAATATTATGTTATTTTTGAAGCAATGTCAAAATGAAAATGAAGAGATTAAAGCCACTTGATTTTAATTAAAAAAATATATATAAATATATATATATATATAAATATATATATATATATATATATATATATATATATAAACATGCAAAAATATAGAACTGATTGCTTGATTATTTTTTTTAAACTTTAAAAAACTTTTTTCCAGCAGATAACTTTATAACATATCCAAAGCACAAGGGTCTCTCAGATGCCTTAAATGTATGCAAGGTAGGTAGACATTTAGGGTGGGAATTTGCCTCTACAAATTGGTCCATTACATCAAACCAACCATTACATCCTTGTTTAGTTTGAGATAATAGCAGAGATAAACATTATTGTGTGACAGAAACTCTTTTGGGGTTTTTTTTTTTTTTTTTTGCAACCGTGGTTTGCATAAACAATGTTTATTCTCAAACAAAGCTATTCTCATTCAATGGAAAGTGAACATGCCATAATGCACAAGCCTGGGATCCACCTTCTGATCACAGATCAGGTCGTCCCAAAGTAAACCAAGAGCTAGTATAAAGGAGCTAGTGCTGATAGACAGCACACTTTAGCTCTTGAGGATGGATGTCTCCACAGGGACTGTGAGGATGTCCCAGATGTGGATGCTGAGATGGGTCGTTCTACTGGTGGGGCTGCAGTCCGTACAAGCAGGTTAGAAAAATGTACAAAATAATCAGTTTGTGATAAGAAACACTTACAATATTAGCTACACAATAGGACTGTATCTGTCTTTCTTTGTTTAAAGACTTTATGAGCGATTATGGAGGAATGGCAGATCCGGACTTTATGTGGCCAACAACAACAGCAGGTGAATATGGCATTATACTGTATGAGATTTACTAATTATTGATTCATAAAGAAACTATAAAGTAACACACTTATTAACAGATGCCAAATTGAACTAGTGCTTTATGTATGTCTAAATGGGTATACACATTAAACTTATGAGACAAAAAGCATGTTCAAGTTTCCATTGATTTATTGAATTATTATTCATGCATTTCAAACAGCCAAATCATTACAATTTAGATAAGTTTTTTTTTTAATTAGATTTGCAAAGAGTATTTAGAAAGAGTGATTGTAGAATATTGTGAATCTATTTTTTTGTTTGTTTTAAAGTATGTGACAAAAAATTGACAACAGGTCTGTCTTTTTCTGTTTTTAGCATTCCCCATGACAAGTGTGCTGGTCACTACTGGTATGATATTACTCTTTCTTTCTTTCTTTCTTTCTTTCTTTCTTTCTTTCTTTCTTTCTTTCTTTCTTTCTTTCTTTCTTTCTTTCTTTCTTTCTTTCTTTCTTTCTTTCTTTCTTTCTTTCTTTCTTTCTTTCTTTCTTTCTTTCTTTCTTTTGAATAAAACTGCAAAAATATTTAAAGGGGTCATGACATTATATATATATATATATATATATATATATATATATATAGATATATATATATTCCTTGAGGTTCACTTATAATCACAAAAATCATACAAAAAATGTTTTTATATCATGTGGAAAACCAATTATTCTCAACCTCATTTTGACCCTCTGTCAGAAATGTTCAGTTTTTAAGGGGCAGCTCTTTTAATGCATGTCAGTAAATGCCCACTGTTATGATTGGCTAATGTCATTACATAGGAAACAGTATAAACACCCACTTGCTATTCATACTTTGCACGTGACGTCACAAGTTCTTCAGCAACGAAACCCACACTGTCAGAAAAAAAGGTACAAAAGCTGTCACTGGGGCTATACCTTTTCAAAAGATACACTTTTGGACCTAAAGGGTGCATATTGGTACCTTAATGGTACATATTAGTATGTACACACCTAAAATGTACATAATTACACCTTCATGTACATATTAACACCTAAAATGTCAATAATAGCACCTAAAATGTACATATTAGCACCTAAAATGTACATATTAGCACCTAAAATGTACAAAAGTTTTTTGGAAAGGTACAACCCAGCTTTTTTGTACCTTTTTTTCTGAGAGTGCATTAAACTAATCAAGGACCTTGCCAGGTCGTCGCCAGTTTTAATATACAAAACTTGGTGTTGGTGTAAATGACATTCGCCAGTAGGTGGCGAAAACGCGTTCATCTGTACGTGATTTGATATATGATATGAGGAGATGAATACAAGGAGAATGTTACTGTTGTACTTTGTCTATTTATTACTTACTTACAGTTAATTTCCATGCACACTATCATAGACTTATTACTATACTACATTACAGCCTAACAGATTGTTAACAGGATTACGCATTTCGCTGCTCTTGTCTGTTGTCTGATGCTATGTGGAGTGGATAAGCAGGTAGGCTACAATATTTGACAGGTGAAGACTTCATCACACAATGTCACTTTGTGTAATTTACAGCAGCAAATATTAGTAAACGGACCTTTGCTTTATGAAGATATTCCTGTTTTTCACCACCCATACGGCAGCATTTTTAACCCATCCACTCTTACAGTTTGCTAAAAAAAAAGATAGCTAACGATCTGATACGGTTGTTTAACTTGACGCAATGGTTCTCAATTTTTTCGGTCATTCCTCACTTTGAACAAGGAGGAATTTGCAAGCTCCACTGCCCCCTCGCCGCAACATTTTTATTTTTTATTTCCTTAAAAAGTCGGTGATGCAATCAAAACATTGCTTTGTACTTTTAAGCATTATTACCACAACCAAATTTAGTTTGGTGCCACTAATGGCATAGAAATTATGCACTTCAATTGTGTATTCAAGAAAAAGTATTTAGTAAAAATCACAATATGTATATTTATGTTTTCTCTCTTGGTTTAGTTGAAGTGAATCCTGATCATCAGTCCACGATCTGCAGCACATGGGGAAATTTCCACTTCAAGACATTTGATGGGCATTTCTTTCAAGTGCCAGACACGTGCAACTACGTTCTGGCGGTGATGTGTGACAACACAAATTCTGACTTTAACATCCAAATGCAAAGAGAGACTGTGAATGACTCAATCACTTTTAGCACAGTCTCAATAAAGCTGGAAGGGACAGTCATCAAAATCACTAATGGCGACATCACTATGGGAGAAGAAATGTGAGTTCATTAATTTGAGTACCATACAGCAAAAGCACACACATACATTTTCTTAATATGAGCATTTCTCATCTGGTATTTCAGTATTTTTATTTAATTAAATAAATAATATATAATTAAGAATATCTGTAAATACATTTCTTATTTTAAGCATAAATGTAAATACATTTTGTGAGGTTTATGCTTTAATGAATAAAATAATCAAAGGTGGGGTTAGGAAAAAAAACGTACTGGTAATTCAATATATATATTCTCTTACAAAATATTTATCTTAACCAGTATTTTAACTAAATTTATTTTAAGTTTATGAAATTTTAGACTGGAAAACATTTTAGTTTTTTCTCAGTAATGTTGACTTTTTAAAAAAAAAAAATGTATTGCTTTGACAGGGTGTCTGTTCCGACCTATAATAACGGGATTAAAATCGAGGGAAGTTCAACAAGTGTCAAGATCTCAAACAAACATGGAGTGACTGTCTTCTGGGAGGAAGACAACTCTCTAACGGTATAATTCAACATCTCTGTGCACACATCATTTTATCTCGAAGCTTGATCTCAGACTTCTGATATTAGAGTTGTTGTTATATGATGTTCACCAGATTGAACTTCCTGAGAAGTATCAAGGTCAGACCTGTGGACTTTGTGGAAACTACAATGGCAACAAGAATGATGATATCACTGTTCAAGGTAAACCTGATGTCTTGAATTCATTAATGTTTAAATTTTCATGTAAAGATTTGAAATACAGCAAGTTAAGTGACCTATAGAAACATACTGAATCTCTTAAAACTCCCATGCCAACAGTGAGATAATAAAAAAATATATATACTTTAACAAATGGAAAAACTTTACCTTTCTAAAGGCTTACAAGGGTCATTTTGAAGTCATCTATGGAGGACCTATAACAACTAAAAATGAATACGCAAATAAATGTAAAAAAAAACTAAAATAAATGACTATTTATACTTTTATACTTAACTATTTATAATTATATATTTTCCCACATTTATTTATTTATTTATGAATTTATTTATTTCCACTTTTATTTATTTTCACTTGTATTTATGTATGCATTTACGTCTACATTTATTTATTTATAAACTTATTTATTTATACATGTATGTATATATTTATTCATTTATTGCTCTGTATGCTAATGAGGGGGGCATGTTTTATTTGTACATTTTCTAATGCAATTTAGAGTCAGCGTCTGCACGTCCCACATCGGCAGTGCGAAGATTTTGTTGAAACTGATTTTATTTGCCTGGTAACAGCCTTATAGTAGGGCCTTATTAAGTAAATTGATCAGTTAAATAAGAACATAGAGGCTACATTATGAGCATATAGCCTACTATTTAATACGTTTTTTTATAAATGCCCCAGGTAATCAATTTATAGCGGAAATGTCACCTCTTTATGGAAAAGTTTGTTGCTGTCAACATTGTTTTTGGATGATACATAAAAAAATGCAGTTAGCTTCTGTAAACGGATCTACAATGCATGGCATTAAATGTGGATAATTTGATGCGCTTCCCTGTAATTCTGTTTAGAAATCCTGACCAGCTGATGTTTTACGGCCATGTCCGTAATAAAGAGTAGACCTATCATTGTATGGTAAAATAGCTAAGTAAACTTAATGGACATAAATCGTGATTGCCCTATTGACCACCTCTAATTCATTTATTTCCTGTGACACCTGTAAAGTTACGTCCACAAACCTCTTGCGTGTGTTTGCTCACACCACAAGGTGTCACTGTGGCCTCAAAGCTTCAGCACTGCCACTCTGAGCTCGATTGCTATGTCTGAGGTAAAACACGCCCCCCGCATTAGCATACAGAGCAATAAATGAATAAATATATAAATGTATAAATAAATAAATACAAAATTATAAATAAATAAATGTAGACGTAAATGCATATATACATAAATAAAAGTGAAATTAAATAAAAATGGAAATAAATAAATGCATAAATAAATAAATGTGGGAAAATATATAATTATACCTAAATAGGGAAATAAATTTATAAATAGTCATTTATTTTAGGTTTTTTTTACATTTATTTGCGTATTTATTTATTTATTTTTAGTTTGTATGGGTTTGGTCCTCCATAGCCCCCTGGTTGAGACCCACTGACTTAAGAATAGGTGTAACATGTTCAACTGAATGTTCTCAGGTTCGGCCGCATGGAAGGTGTCTATATCAGTTGAAACCTGTGAGGAAGTTACACTTCAACCCACTGATCAGTGCAACCAGGTATGAGACAAAATCAATGTTGTTCTGTTGTTCAGATTTTGGGTGCCCTTTTAAAATAAAACAATGGGAAATTTCATATTAAATTTAAAATCATTGGTTGAATCATTGGTCAATTATACTCTTAAATTATACATTTTCCCCCTAGACAAGTGTTTGCCAGCAGTATCTCAGAAGTCCAGGGTTTAGCGACTGTTACAACGTGATGGACATGGGTTCATTTGAAGAGGCCTGTGTGAACGACCTGTGTCAATGTTACGGCAATCACGACTGTCTCTGCAACACACTCACGGAGATTTCACGACAGTGCACACATGCTGGAGGAAATCCAGGAACATGGAGGACAGAGCAGCTCTGCCGTGAGTATCAGAAAAGAAACCAGTGGGAATAAAATCAGCTCAGGATTAAATGAATGCATGAGTATGATTAAAAATAAATAAATAATGGTTTAAAACCCAATATACATATACTACTAGTTTGGACACATTTGACTGAATTTATGGGTCCAGCATTCAGTCCTGATACTGTACGGTGTGTGTTTGATATAATAATTATTCTTATTCTGTGGAGCAGCAAAGACATGTCCTCTAAACATGCAATACCTGGAGTGTGGAAGTCCGTGCAAGAACACCTGCAAAGATCCAACCACAAGTCTAATGTGTAACGAACACTGTGTGGACGGCTGTTTCTGCCCTGAAGGTAACAATTTAAAATAGTTAACGGTATAGCTTTTTAATGTTTTTGAAAGAAGTCTCTTATGCCCACCAAGGCTGCATTTTTTTTAAATATTATAAATACACTAATATTGTGAAATAGTGTTACAACTACTTTTTTTAAGATTCTTTTGATGAATAAAGTTCAAAAGCTCAGCATTTATTTGAAACAGAAATATTTTGTAACATTATAAATGTCTTTACTGCCATTTTTTATTTATTAAATACATCCTTGCTGAATAAACGTATTCATGTATTTTTCTTACTGACCCCAGACTTTTGAATGATAGTGTATAATCAATGAATTTCAGCATGTACAGACTCTAAATGCACGCTTTTCTTTTTGTAAAGGCACCGTTGAAGACGACATTGGTCAGAGTGGATGTGTTCCTGTGAACCAGTGCCCATGTGATCACGATGGCACACTATATCGATCAGGAGAGTCTTACCAACAAGCTTGTAAAGAATGGTACATTTTTTATTTAAATGTTTTAGTCACATTGAAATTCATATACATTTACCGGAATACTTTTACCCATGCTAACACTGCTGTGGTATTTGTCAGTGTGTGTGACGCGGGACACTGGACCTGTACACACCTGGAATGTCCCGGAATCTGCTCTGTTGTGGGAGGGTCTCACGTCACCACCTATGATGGAAAGAGCTTCACCTTCAGCGGGAACTGTGACTACATCCTCACTAAGGTCTGTCAGGATATCAGATGATCCACAGATATTTTCTGTCAGGGCGAGATCAATGAAAGTCTTTTATCCACACGGTTTATTATATAACAATCAGAAAAGTGTGGACATGGTAATTTATATTCATTATATATAATTTGGAGGTTCTTACAGTCCTTTTTTATTCCAGCACTCTGATGACAGTGATATTGCTGTCATGGGAAATCTGGCAGCGTGTGGTCCGGCCCGAAAAGACACGTGTCTAAATTCAGTGACCCTTGTCATCTCGGGGACCACTGTAAGTACTGGGTTTAAAGAATTTTTTATTATTATCAAATTATTTTATTATTATCATTTTTATTATTATCATTGTTAAATTTGTATTATTATTTTTATAATGTATTAATAATAATAAATTATTATTATCTCGCTAATAATAATAGTTATACTGACTACTATGAGAAATAATAATACAGTCTTAATAATAATATATCTTTCTTGATGTTCTATTAATAAAACAGATTAGTTTCTCCTCCGTTGGAACTGTTGCAGCGAATGGAATCAGTGCAAATGTGCTTCCAGCAACCATAGGTGGGTTTTTACAAATATATGAGAACTTTTTATTTTGTCATCAATATATATGTATAAAATAACTGGATAATTTTGTTGTCTCAGGTCCTGTGAGCATCTTCCAGCCCTCTTCCTCCTTCATTATTGCTGATATGAAGAGTCTTCGTCTAGAGATCCAGTTGGCTCCAGTCATGCAGTTGTATATTACAGCCAGCACTGAAGAGAAAGGAAAAATGAGCGGTAAGTTGAAAAAAAAAAACCCTGCAGATTTTAAATATGTGTAATGTTTTCTGAAAAAGTTATTTTTTTTTTATTTGTAGGAAATACATTTCTAATGAACTACTTTTAACCATGTTCCTCTCAGGTCTGTGTGGAAACTATAACGACATCCAAACAGACGACTTTAAAACCGGATCAGGCATGATAGAGGGCACACCAACCAACTTTGTCAACTTTTGGAAACGCAGTTGTCCAGATCTTGAAATCACATTTGACAACCCCTGCAGCTTGAATATGGACACAGGTGCTTACTGCATTAAATAAAAGCAACACGCTCACAGTATTCATGTTACAGTGATAATTTCACTATTTTCTTGACAAAAAATCAGTACATTTTCAATTCAGTCGTGCTAAACAAAGTAAACAAGCAAATCTCCTGTTTTTGTTCTCGTAGAGCAACTTGCGAAAGACTGGTGTTCCCGTCTCACAAACCCAAATGGGACCTTTTCCGAATGTCACTCAGAAATAAATCCTGAGATGTACTACCAAGTAAGTGTTCGTACATAAAACACTCTTCTCTTTTAAAATGTACTGCACAATTGTCTTGATGCATACATACATTCAATCTGTTTTTTCGCTTCAGTGGTGCGTCTATGACACCTGCAAGTGTGCAGATATTAAAAAGTGTATGTGTGCGGCCGTGTCCACGTATGCCCACGCATGTGCTGCCAAAGGAGTCATTCTCCAGGGCTGGATGGATTCAGACCCCTGTGGTGAGAACTTAATAAAGTACACATTCAAACAAATATTTATGAGTGTACACTGTTTCAAATTAGCCTCTGTGTGTCTCTTGCTCCATAGACACAATTTTGAAGTGTCCAGAAAACATGAAGTACGCTTACGGAGTGACCAGCTGTGGAAGCAGCTGCCGCTCTCTCAGTGTTCACGATAACACCTGCCAAGGGTCCTTCACACCTGTAGATGGCTGTGTCTGTCCTGAGGGAACATACCTCAACGAAGCCGGCAGCTGTGTACATGCTGACCAGTGTCCTTGTTACTATGAAAACCAAGTCATAGAGCCATCAGCAGTGTACTACAAAGATGGTTATAAATGGTATAGATAGCAGTTTAACATATGCATAATGTACCCATTAACATTTTTAAACTTTTTGTTTCACCCCCACTCAATAGCCCTGTACTGCCAAATGTTTTTTAATTAGAAGCATAACAATTGCTGTATAAATGCCGTTTAAAATGATTTTAGATGTAGCATGTCACAAAAGCGTACACCTATATAACAATCTCCACCTGCATTATAAGTCGATAGTGGATAGCAAGTCGATAGTATTACTCTTGATAGTGGATTTTTACTAATACTAACTTACTAATGATTTTACTTCACTGTTTTGTCAAAAACAGCACCTGTAACCATGGCATATTGCAGTGCTCCATTCAAGCAGGTGAACTAAAACCACCTTCTAAATTCAAACTTGAGGTATTACTCGTATGATGTGGGCTAATTTTCTGAATCTATACATGTGCTTGTTTTGTTTTCAGACTGTAAGGCTCCAATGACATTCTTTAAATGCTCATATCCTGGAGAAAAAGGGACAGAGTGTCAGAGGACATGTGAGAAACAAGACCCAAACAACTGTGTGAGTTGGGACGGATGGATGGATGAATGGAATACATGAAAAAGAGGATGAATGAAATGAGAAATCTTAGTAGTTTTGACACAAAAATCCAGTTTGTCCAATTCAAATGCTGGCATTCTCACAGCAGTTCTAAATGGCGCAGATACAGATAATATGAAATGGCAAATCTTGCTAGAAGTTTGCAGGGAAAAGTTGTTTTAACAATTTTATCTTGTCAATAGGTGAGCACAGGGTGTGTATCAGGGTGTATGTGTCCAGGCGGCCTTCTGGCTGATGGCAATGGTGGGTGTGTGGAGAGGGAAAAATGTAGTTGTACCCACAATGGAGTCTCCTATTCTCCTGGGGGCCAAGTTCAGCAGGACTGTAACACCTGGTGAGCCAATCACAACTGTTATAACCCTGTTTTGTCATTTTACATCAACAGTACCTGTCAAATGTTTGGACACACATCTGTACACAAGTGTAAATGTCACATACTGTAGCATGATCCAGTGTGTTTACTGTTAACTAAACGTAAAATAATTTCCTATAACTGCAATAAAGCTATCGTTGCATTAGTATTTATTTGTGAATTGTTCTCTATATTTCAGCACATGCACAAACGGGGTGTGGAGTTGTACAGAAAAGGCATGCTACAGCACCTGTACCATCTACGGTGAAGGTCATTTCAAGACTTTTGATGGCAGGAAATATTCCTTCCACGGAGACTGTAAACACACCTTAGCCCATGTAAGTTTAACTCTGCCAATAAAAAAAATATATATTTACAGATATCTAACAAATGCCGGTTACTATCGCCGTCGGTGAATGAATGAGTGTATGAATGGGTGAATGTGAGGCAAATGTAAAGCGCTTTGGTGGCCATTAGGTCTATGAAGGCGCTATATAAATGCAGTCCATTTACCATTTTACCATTTACCATTTACTATTATATCTGCAAAAGCACTAAGAATTATATGAAAGAGTCGTATGAAAAAAAGGGCTGGGTATTGACAAATTTCATAATTCTATCTCAAAGGAACCCATGCAGTACATTACTGTAATATTAAAGCAGTTTGTATACAAACATTTAAATTGTGCATAAGGCATTTTTAACAATAACAAAGTATTAATATTTTTTATATACTTCGTTCTACTACAATTCTATGTTTATTGTTTTATGTTTTCATGATTTTATATACTTCGTTCTACTACAATTCTACGTTTATTGTTTTATGTTTTCATGATGGCTTTATTCAAATATTGAAGAATATGTTAAGAGAAATTAAATGTAAATATCCTGCATATATTTAGTACGGAGCCCCCTAGTCCCACTTTGGCAAAAAAAAAAAAAAAAATTATAACTGTCTTGTAGCCTCAAGATACTATCTCGTGGCCTCAAGATAGTAACTCGGGCCTCAAGATAGTAACTCGTGGCCTCAAGATACTAACTCGTGGCCTCAAGATACTAACTCGTGACCTCAAGATAGTAACTCGTGGCCTCAAGATACTAACTCGTGGCCTCAAGATACTAACTCGTGACCTCAAGATACTAACTCGTGGCCTCAAGATACTAACTCGTGGCCTCAAGATACTAACTCGTGACCTCAAGATACTAACTCGTGGCCTCAAGATACTAACTCGTGACCTCAAGATACTAACTCGTGGCCTCAAGATACTAACTCGTGACCTCAAGATACTAACTCGTGGCCTCAAGATACTAACTCGTGGCCTCAAGATACTAACTCGTGACCTCAAGATACTAACTCGTGGCCTCAAGATACTAACTCGTGACCTCAAGATACTAACTCGTGGCCTCAAGATAGTAACTCGTGGCCTCAAGATAGTAACTCGTTGCCTCAAGATACTAACTCGTGGCCTCAAGATACTAACTCGTGACCTCAAGATACTAACTCGTGGCCTCAAGATAGTAACTCGTGGCCTCAAGATAGTAACTCGTGGCCTCAAGATAGTAACTCGTGACCTCAAGATACTAACTCGTGGCCTCAAGATACTAACTCGTGACCTCAAGATACTAACTCGTGGCCTCAAGATACTAACTCGTGACCTCAAGATACTAACTCGTGGCCTCAAGATACTAACTCGTGACCTCAAGATACTAACTCGTGGCCTCAAGATACTAACTCGTGGCCTCAAGATACTAACTCGTGACCTCAAGATACTAACTCGTGGCCTCAAGATAGTAACTCGTGGCCTCAAGATAGTAACTCGTGGCCTCAAGATAGTAACTCGTGACCTCAAGATACTAACTCGTGGCCTCAAGATACTAACTCGTGACCTCAAGATACTAACTCGTGGCCTCAAGATACTAACTCGTGACCTCAAGATACTAACTCGTGGCCTCAAGATACTAACTCGTGACCTCAAGATACTAACTCGTGGCCTCAAGATACTAACTCGTGGCCTCAAGATACTAACTCGTGACCTCAAGATACTAACTCGTGGCCTCAAGATACTAACTCGTGACCTCAAGATACTAACTCGTGGCCTCAAGATAGTAACTCGTGGCCTCAAGATAGTAACTCGTTGCCTCAAGATAGTAACTCGTGGCCTCAAGATAGAGTTAGTATCTTGAGGCCACGAGTTAGTATCTTGAGGCCACGAGTTACTATCTTGAGGCCACGAGATGGTATCTTGAGGCCACGAGATAGTTAATAATTTTTTTTTGCCAAAGTTGGACTAGGGGGGCTTCGTAAATTTAGCAAAATGCTCTTAGTGTTCATTTTCTAGCTAACTCTCAAGCTATGGTCAGTAAATGGCTTTCCTGAGGTAAATGTTACGTTACATTGTTTACACCCATTGAAGACATTAACGTCTTTACGAGGTTAAAACACTGACTGAGAGATTACATAAAAACTTTAAACATTTCGGAAAATTGTACTGTATGTTTCAACATACCTTCTGATGTTATTTCTATCATATCACATTAAAGTTTTTTTTTCAAAGTTTTTAAAGTTTTTAATGTATTGTTTTAATTTCGTATTAAAAGCAACACATTTTGAAAGCTGAGACCCTGTCTCATATCAAAAGTAGCTTGAATCGATTCCTGTGAATTAAGTGAGAATTGATTAAAATCGCGAAATCAATATTTTCAACCAAGCCCTGATGGAAATTGGAAAACATAACTTTTTATATAACTTAGAAAGATGAACTGCATATGAGGGTTAATTGGTAACACTTTACAAAAAGGTTCATTAGTTAACTACATTAGTTAACATTAACAAAGAATGAACAATACTTCTTTAGCATTTGTTAATCTTTGTTAATGTTAATTTTAACATTTACTAATACTTTTTAAACATCTTGTTAACATTAGTTAATGCACTGTGAACTACAGTAACATGAACAATGAACAGCTAGATTTGTATTAACTAACGTTAACAAAGAATTACAAATACAGTAACAAATGGTTAGTTCATGTTAGTTAATACATTAACTAATGTTTAATAAATGAACCTTATTGAGTAGTGTTACCGGTTAATTAAATGGGGCATTATAATTTGGAACATATTTTATTATGTGTGTGACCCTTCTAGGATTACTGCGGTACAAACTTGTATCCCTCCTTCCGGCTGGTCACAGAGAACATCCCCTGCTCCACCGGCAACAGTATCTGCTCCAAGACCATCCATCTGTTCTTTGGGGTGAGGCTATTTCATAGCTCAGAGTCAGCACATGTTTATTAGTAAAGCATCCTAAAATGCAATATATATTGTGTCACTAACTATTCAAATCCCACAGAGATACGAGATGATTTTATCTGAGGAGGATAGAGTGAAAGTTGTTGAAGGCAATGGCACAGATTACAACTATAAAATCCATTCTGCAGTCCTATATATTGTAATAGAAGTTGAAGATCTTTTGAATTTGATCTGGGACACTAAAACGAGTGTGATGATCCAACTCCATCCCAAACTAAAGGTATGCATTCCTTAAAGGTACACTCATACTCAAGAACCTTCTACCCTTAGTCTGTTCAATTACTCAACTAAACATCCACGTGATCTCTGTGGCAGGGCAAGGTGTGTGGGCTGTGTGGAAACTTTGATGGCAATGCGATTAATGACTTTATGAAGCTCAATGGAGAAGTGGTGACCGATCCAGAGGAATTTGGGAATAGCTGGAAGGTGGATGCCAAATGCCCAGATGTGACAAACGTGAAGCATCCTTGTGACGCAAATCCAAACCGGCGTTCCTGGGCTGAAAAAAAATGCGCAATCATTACGAGCCCTGTCTTTGAAGACTGCAAATCAGCTGTAAGTAACAATTAACAAGTTGTGGATCAAAATCAAGCCTTGTTCGTGTTCTTAAAATTCTAGTTTTTACCCATGACTCTATGGATGCCTAGAAATGCTAAATCATTACTGAAATGAAATTAATTTGTGTTGTTTAGTACTTTCTAACTGTATTTAATACATCTATCCCCGTTTTACAGACAAGGCTTGAGCCTTGTCCCACAGTAAAATGAATGTTTGAAATATGTCAGTGCCATTGTTTAGCATCTCAAGGCACAGAAAACTGCTATCCTGATGAACTGAGGTGCCTGTTGAATCATTTACATTTGCTTTGTTTCAATAGTCTCCTCCTTTATATAATCCCGCCCTCTTTTTAAATGTATAAGAATAGTTCTGTATTCTAAGTTAAATCAGACGATGCTGACATGACTGCAGCTACGAGCAATAAAGAACTTCTGCTTGGAAAACGTCCATTGTCTCCTGGTCTCCTCAGCTCCTAACTTTTCATCAAGGAGAAAAGTTTACCACACTTCTTAATGCCCTAATTGAACTAAGGCCTAAACCTGGCTGATAAATCATTGTCCTGATAGATTTAAAACTTTGGTAAAAAAAAAAAAAAAACCTTTAACGTGATATGATAGAATTAACATCAGAAGGTATGTTGAAACATACAGTACAATTTTCGTAAATGTTTAATGTTTTTATGTAATCGCTCAGTCAAGCCCTGTCTGTGAAACAGGACGTAGTGTAGCTACTGTATCATTGTAATCCTTGAGGATCTGTGTGTCTGATTCTTCTGTGTCTAGGTGGACTCTCGCCCATACTATGATGCCTGTGTAAGGGACGCCTGTGCATGTGACAGCGGAGGTGACTGTGATTGTCTCTGTACTGCAGTGGCAGCTTATGCTGCTGAATGCCGTAAAAAAGGAGTTTGTGTGGCATGGAGGAGGCCAGACTTTTGTCGTAAGTTTAAATATTTCTAACATTTATTTCGCCGAAAAATATATATAACTCATTTTCACAATATAAATATGAAATTACTTATGAGTATTTTTATTATAGTTTCAGAACTGTTTTTATGATGGATTTAGAAATTGAATATATGAAGAGTTCAGATGCAAAAGCCTCTAAATGCCATTTGAAAATTTCTTCTTTAATGATGATTTTTAGCAAACTTGTACATTTAAGTTCAGTAATTTCACTTAAATAACAATTAATAGGTAATTATCATTGCCATTTAAGTGAAATCACTGATTTTAAATATACAAGCTTGATAAAAATCATCATTCTGGAAGAAAATTTCAAATGGCACTTAGAGGCTTTTGCATCTGAACTCTTCATTTATATATGGAATAAGGAAACAATAAAATCCACACATAGAAGTTGTTAAAATAGAACAAATAAATGATGACGTTTCACGGCCAATTTAATATGACCTTCATTTAATAATAGATATCTGTTACAGTAGCTTAAAAAACATTGCGGGATAAATGTGTCTGTAGCTCAAATAGAGATATTGTCCTGACTCAAGTGATTGTTCTTGCAGCTGTATTCTGTGACTACTACAATGAACTAAATGAATGTGAGTGGCACTATAAAACCTGCGGATCCACCTGCATGAAAACCTGCACAAATCCCTCAGGCACTTGCTCTGATCAAATCCCTACTCTTGAGGGTAAGAATTGAGCATTTTAGCATATTTTGAAAATATGTGGTATGAGTTTCTCAAAATAAGATATTAGGTACCAACATGTCTAGAAACATTTGATAAAACCCATATCTTATTTTTATTTATACTTTTAGGTTGTTTTCTTCAGTGCCCTTCTGAGAGGCCATATCTCAGGGAGGAGACCATGAAGTGTGTTAAAACATGTGATGAATGTTTCTATGACGGGAAATTATTTCCACCTGGATCTGTCATTTACGACACCACAGATGGGAACGGGGCATGTTTAACTGCTCTGTGTGATTCAAATGGGGTAATAGTAAGAAATATTTATCAATGCCCAACCCCATCAACAACACCTTTCATTTTCACAACTACAACTGAAACTACTAAAACAACCACAACTACTATGTCAACTACAACCACAGTATCCACATCAACAATAACATCTACAACTACAATAACATCACCAATAGTTACAACAACTCCCACATATGAGACATCTACAATCACATCCACTATACCTACATCAACAGAAACAACAACTGTAACAACAACACCTACATCAACTGAAACAACAACTACAACTGTAACAACAACACCTACATCAACTGAAACTACAACTGTAACAACAACACCTACATCAACTGAAACAACAACTACAACTGTAACAACAACACCTACATCAACAGAAACAACAACTACATGTTATTTAAGTTGTAAATGGTCAGAGTGGATCGATAGCAACACACCCAGTACAGAACCCAAAGGATTTGAAACTGAATCAATCGATGCGTTGTGGAATTCAAAAAAGATTACCTGTCAAAGCCCTGAAGAGATTGAATGTAGGGCAGTAGATTATCCGCAAAAGTCATTGGAAGATTTGGGTCAACAACTGTATTGTAATACATCTTTTGGACTGTCATGTTCAAATGAAGACAATGCAGAGGGCATGCCACCACTTTGTTACAATTATAAAATCCGTGTGAAATGTTGTAATGACAATTGCATTTCCCCTACAACGATCACATCAACAGAGACTACAACTGTAACGACAACACCTACATCAACGGAAACAACACCTACAACCGTTACAGTAACAACACCTACATCAACTGAAACAACACCTACATCAACAGAAAGTACAACTGTAACGACAACACCTACATCAACAGAAACAACACCTACATCAACTGAAACAACAACTACAACTGTAACAACACCTACATCAACTGAAACAACACCTACATCAACTGAAACTACAACTGTAACGACAACACCTACATCAACAGAAACAACAACTACATGCTATTTAAGTTGTAAATGGTCAGAGTGGATTGATAGCAACACACCCAGTACAGAACCCAAAGGATTTGAAACTGAATCAATCGATGCGTTGTGGAATTCAAAAAAGATTACCTGTCAAAGCCCTGAAGAGATTGAATGTAGGGCAGTAGATTATCCGCAAATGTCATTGGAAGATTTGGGTCAACAACTGTATTGTAATACATCTTTTGGACTGTCATGTTCAAATGAAGACAATGCAGAGGGCATGCCACCACTTTGTTACAATTATAAAATCCGTGTGGAATGTTGTAATGACAATTGTATTTCCCCTACAACGATCACATCAACAGAGACTACAACTGTAACAACAACACCTACATCAACAGAAACAACACCTACAACCGTTACAGTAACAACACCTACATCAACGGAAACAACACCTACATCAACAGAAAGTACAACTGTAACGACAACACCTACATCAACTGAAACAACAACTACATCAACTGAAACTACAACTGTAACGACAACACCTACATCAACAGAAACAACAACTACAACTGTAACAACAACACCTACATCAACTGAAACAACACCTACATCAACTGAAACTACAACTGTAACGACAACACCTACATCAACAGAAACAACAACTACATGTTATTTAAGTTGTAAATGGTCAGAGTGGATCGATAGCAACACACCCAGTACAGAACCCAAAGGATTTGAAACTGAATCAATCGATGCGTTGTGGAATTCAAAAAAGATTACCTGTCAAAGCCCTGAAGAGATTGAATGTAGGGCAGTAGATTATCCGCAAAAGTCATTGGAAGATTTGGGTCAACAACTGTATTGTAATACATCTTTTGGACTGTCATGTTCAAATGAAGACAATGCAGAGGGCATGCCACCACTTTGTTACAATTATAAAATCCGTGTGAAATGTTGTAATGACAATTGCATTTCCCCTACAACGATCACATCAACAGAGACTACAACTGTAACGACAACACCTACATCAACGGAAACAACACCTACAACCGTTACAGTAACAACACCTACATCAACTGAAACAACACCTACATCAACAGAAAGTACAACTGTAACGACAACACCTACATCAACAGAAACAACACCTACATCAACTGAAACAACAACTACAACTGTAACAACACCTACATCAACTGAAACAACACCTACATCAACTGAAACTACAACTGTAACGACAACACCTACATCAACAGAAACAACAACTACATGCTATTTAAGTTGTAAATGGTCAGAGTGGATTGATAGCAACACACCCAGTACAGAACCCAAAGGATTTGAAACTGAATCAATCGATGCGTTGTGGAATTCAAAAAAGATTACCTGTCAAAGCCCTGAAGAGATTGAATGTAGGGCAGTAGATTATCCGCAAATGTCATTGGAAGATTTGGGTCAACAACTGTATTGTAATACATCTTTTGGACTGTCATGTTCAAATGAAGACAATGCAGAGGGCATGCCACCACTTTGTTACAATTATAAAATCCGTGTGGAATGTTGTAATGACAATTGTATTTCCCCTACAACGATCACATCAACAGAGACTACAACTGTAACAACAACACCTACATCAACAGAAACAACACCTACAACCGTTACAGTAACAACACCTACATCAACGGAAACAACACCTACATCAACAGAAAGTACAACTGTAACGACAACACCTACATCAACTGAAACAACAACTACATCAACTGAAACAACAACTACAACTGTAACAACAACACCTACATCAACTGAAACAACACCTACATCAACTGAAACTACAACTGTAACGACAACACCTACATCAACAGAAACAACAACTACATGTTATTTAAGTTGTAAATGGTCAGAGTGGATCGATAGCAACACACCCAGTACAGAACCCAAAGGATTTGAAACTGAATCAATCGATGCGTTGTGGAATTCAAAAAAGATTACCTGTCAAAGCCCTGAAGAGATTGAATGTAGGGCAGTAGATTATCCGCAAAAGTCATTGGAAGATTTGGGTCAACAACTGTATTGTAATACATCTTTTGGACTGTCATGTTCAAATGAAGACAATGCAGAGGGCATGCCACCACTTTGTTACAATTATAAAATCCGTGTGAAATGTTGTAATGACAATTGCATTTCCCCTACAACGATCACATCAACAGAGACTACAACTGTAACGACAACACCTACATCAACAGAAACAACACCTACAACCGTTACAGTAACAACACCTACATCAACTGAAACAACACCTACATCAACAGAAAGTACAACTGTAACGACAACACCTACATCAACGGAAACAACACCTACAACCGTTACAGTAACAACACCTACATCAACTGAAACAACACCTACATCAACAGAAAGTACAACTGTAACGACAACACCTACATCAACAGAAACAACACCTACATCAACAGAAACAACAACTACAACTGTAACAACACCTACATCAACTGAAACAACACCTACATCAACTGAAACTACAACTGTAACGACAACACCTACATCAACAGAAACAACAACTACATGCTATTTAAGTTGTAAATGGTCAGAGTGGATTGATAGCAACACACCCAGTACAGAACCCAAAGGATTTGAAACTGAATCAATCGATGCGTTGTGGAATTCAAAAAAGATTACCTGTCAAAGCCCTGAAGAGATTGAATGTAGGGCAGTAGATTATCCGCAAATGTCATTGGAAGATTTGGGTCAACAACTGTATTGTAATACATCTTTTGGACTGTCATGTTCAAATGAAGACAATGCAGAGGGCATGCCACCACTTTGTTACAATTATAAAATCCGTGTGGAATGTTGTAATGACAATTGTATTTCCCCTACAACGATCACATCAACAGAGACTACAACTGTAACGACAACACCTACATCAACGGAAACAACACCTACAACCGTTACAGTAACAACACCTACATCAACTGAAACAACACCTACATCAACAGAAAGTACAACTGTAACGACAACACCTACATCAACAGAAACAACACCTACATCAACTGAAACAACTACAACTGTAACAACAACACCTACATCAACTGAAACTACAACTGTAACGACAACACCTACATCAACAGAAACAACAACTACATGCTATTTAAGTTGTAAATGGTCAGAGTGGATCGATAGCAACACACCCAGTACAGAACCCAAAGGATTTGAAACTGAATCAATCGATGCGTTGTGGAATTCAAAAAAGATTACCTGTCAAAGCCCTGAAGAGATTGAATGTAGGGCAGTAGATTATCCGCAAAAGTCATTGGAAGATTTGGGTCAACAACTGTATTGTAATACATCTTTTGGACTGTCATGTTCAAATGAAGACAATGCAGAGGGCATGCCACCACTTTGTTACAATTATAAAATCCGTGTGAAATGTTGCAATGACAATTGCATTTCCCCTACAACGATAACATCAACAGAGACTACAACTGTAACGACAACACCTACATCAACAGAAACAACACCTACAACTGTTACAGTAACAACACCTACATCAACGGAAACAACACCTACAACCGTTACAGTAACAACACCTACATCAACAGAAACAACACCTACATCAACAGAAAGTACAACTGTAACGACAACACCTACATCAACTGAAACAACACCTACATCAACTGAAACAACAACTACAACAGTAACAACAACACCTACATCAACAGAAACAACACCTACATCAACTGAAACTACAACTGTAACGACAACACCTACATCAACAGAAACAACACCTACAACCGTTACAGTAACAACACCTACATCAACGGAAACAACACCTACATCAACAGAAAGTACAACTGTAACGACAACACCTACATCAACTGAAACAACAACTACAACTGTAACAACAACACCTACATCAACTGAAACAACACCTACATCAACTGAAACTACAACTGTAACGACAACAGCTACATCAACAGAAACAACAACTACATGTTATTTAAGTTGTAAATGGTCAGAGTGGATCGATAGCAACACACCCAGTACAGAACCCAAAGGATTTGAAACTGAATCAATCGATGCGTTGTGGAATTCAAAAAAGATTACCTGTCAAAGCCCTGAAGAGATTGAATGTAGGGCAGTAGATTATCCGCAAATGTCATTGGAAGATTTGGGTCAACAACTGTATTGTAATACATCTTTTGGACTGTCATGTTCAAATGAAGACAATGCAGAGGGCATGCCACCACTTTGTTACAATTATAAAATCCGTGTGAAATGTTGTAATGACAATTGTATTTCCCCTACAACGATCACATCAACAGAGACTACAACTGTAACAACAACACCTACATCAACAGAAACAACACCTACAACCGTTACAGTAACAACACCTACATCAACGGAAACAACACCTACATCAACAGAAAGTACAACTGTAACGACAACACCTACATCAACTGAAACAACAACTACATCAACTGAAACAACAACTACAACTGTAACAACAACACCTACATCAACTGAAACAACACCTACATCAACTGAAACTACAACTGTAACGACAACACCTACATCAACAGAAACAACAACTACATGTTATTTAAGTTGTAAATGGTCAGAGTGGATCGATAGCAACACACCCAGTACAGAACCCAAAGGATTTGAAACTGAATCAATCGATGCGTTGTGGAATTCAAAAAAGATTACCTGTCAAAGCCCTGAAGAGATTGAATGTAGGGCAGTAGATTATCCGCAAAAGTCATTGGAAGATTTGGGTCAACAACTGTATTGTAATACATCTTTTGGACTGTCATGTTCAAATGAAGACAATGCAGAGGGCATGCCACCACTTTGTTACAATTATAAAATCCGTGTGAAATGTTGTAATGACAATTGCATTTCCCCTACAACGATCACATCAACAGAGACTACAACTGTAACGACAACACCTACATCAACGGAAACAACACCTACAACCGTTACAGTAACAACACCTACATCAACTGAAACAACACCTACATCAACAGAAAGTACAACTGTAACGACAACACCTACATCAACAGAAACAACACCTACATCAACTGAAACAACAACTACAACTGTAACAACACCTACATCAACTGAAACAACACCTACATCAACTGAAACTACAACTGTAACGACAACAGCTACATCAACAGAAACAACAACTACATGTTATTTAAGTTGTAAATGGTCAGAGTGGATCGATAGCAACACACCCAGTACAGAACCCAAAGGATTTGAAACTGAATCAATCGATGCGTTGTGGAATTCAAAAAAGATTACCTGTCAAAGCCCTGAAGAGATTGAATGTAGGGCAGTAGATTATCCGCAAAAGTCATTGGAAGATTTGGGTCAACAACTGTATTGTAATACATCTTTTGGACTGTCATGTTCAAATGAAGACAATGCAGAGGGCATGCCACCACTTTGTTACAATTATAAAATCCGTGTGAAATGTTGTAATGACAATTGCATTTCCCTACAACGATCACATCAACAGAGACTACAACTGTAACGACAACACCTACATCAACAGAAACAACACCTACAACCGTTACAGTAACAACACCTACATCAACTGAAACAACACCTACATCAACAGAAAGTACAACTGTAACGACAACACCTACATCAACGGAAACAACACCTACAACCGTTACAGTAACAACACCTACATCAACTGAAACAACACCTACATCAACAGAAAGTACAACTGTAACGACAACACCTACATCAACAGAAACAACACCTACATCAACAGAAACAACAACTACAACTGTAACAACACCTACATCAACTGAAACAACACCTACATCAACTGAAACTACAACTGTAACGACAACACCTACATCAACAGAAACAACAACTACATGCTATTTAAGTTGTAAATGGTCAGAGTGGATCGATAGCAACACACCCAGTACAGAACCCAAAGGATTTGAAACTGAATCAATCGATGCGTTGTGGAATTCAAAAAAGATTACCTGTCAAAGCCCTGAAGAGATTGAATGTAGGGCAGTAGATTATCCGCAAATGTCATTGGAAGATTTGGGTCAACAACTGTATTGTAATACATCTTTTGGACTGTCATGTTCAAATGAAGACAATGCAGAGGGCATGCCACCACTTTGTTACAATTATAAAATCCGTGTGGAATGTTGTAATGACAATTGTATTTCCCCTACAACGATCACATCAACAGAGACTACAACTGTAACGACAACACCTACATCAACGGAAACAACACCTACAACCGTTACAGTAACAACACCTACATCAACTGAAACAACACCTACATCAACAGAAAGTACAACTGTAACGACAACACCTACATCAACAGAAACAACACCTACATCAACTGAAACAACAACTACAACTGTAACAACAACACCTACATCAACTGAAACAACACCTACATCAACTGAAACTACAACTGTAACGACAACACCTACATCAACAGAAACAACAACTACATGCTATTTAAGTTGTAAATGGTCAGAGTGGATCGATAGCAACACACCCAGTACAGAACCCAAAGGATTTGAAACTGAATCAATCGATGCGTTGTGGAATTCAAAAAAGATTACCTGTCAAAGCCCTGAAGAGATTGAATGTAGGGCAGTAGATTATCCGCAAAAGTCATTGGAAGATTTGGGTCAACAACTGTATTGTAATACATCTTTTGGACTGTCATGTTCAAATGAAGACAATGCAGAGGGCATGCCACCACTTTGTTACAATTATAAAATCCGTGTGAAATGTTGTAATGACAATTGCATTTCCCCTACAACGATCACATCAACAGAGACTACAACTGTAACGACAACACCTACATCAACAGAAACAACACCTACAACCGTTACAGTAACAACACCTACTTCAACGGAAACAACACCTACAACCGTTACAGTAACAACACCTACATCAACTGAAACAACACCTACATCAACAAAAAGTACAACTGTAACGACAACACCTACATCAACTGAAACAACAACTACAACTGTAACAACAACACCTACATCAACAGAAACAACACCTACATCAACTGAAACTACAACTCTAACGACAACACCTACATCAACAGAAACAACACCTACAACCGTTACAGTAACAACACCTACATCAACAGAAACAACACCTACAACCGTTACAGTAACAACACCTACTTCAACGGAAACAACACCTACAACCGTTACAGTAACAACACCTACATCAACAGAAACAACACCTACATCAACAAAAAGTACAACTGTAACGACAACACCTACATCAACTGAAACAACACCTACATCAACTGAAACAACAACTACAACTGTAACAACAACACCTACATCAACAGAAACAACACCTACATCAACTGAAACTACAACTGTAACGACAACACCTACATCAACAGAAACAACACCTACATCAACAGAAACAACACCTACAACCGTTACAGTAACAACACCTACATCAACGGAAACAACACCTACATCAACAGAAAGTACAACTGTAACGACAACACCTACATCAACTGAAACAACAACTACATCAACTGAAACAACAACTACAACTGTAACAACAACACCTACATCAACTGAAACAACACCTACATCAACTGAAACTACAACTGTAACGACAACACCTACATCAACAGAAACAACAACTACATGTTATTTAAGTTGTAAATGGTCAGAGTGGATCGATAGCAACACACCCAGTACAGAACCCAAAGGATTTGAAACTGAATCAATCGATGCGTTGTGGAATTCAAAAAAGATTACCTGTCAAAGCCCTGAAGAGATTGAATGTAGGGCAGTAGATTATCCGCAAAAGTCATTGGAAGATTTGGGTCAACAACTGTATTGTAATACATCTTTTGGACTGTCATGTTCAAATGAAGACAATGCAGAGGGCATGCCACCACTTTGTTACAATTATAAAATCCGTGTGAAATGTTGTAATGACAATTGCATTTCCCCTACAACGATCACATCAACAGAGACTACAACTGTAACGACAACACCTACATCAACGGAAACAACACCTACAACCGTTACAGTAACAACACCTACATCAACTGAAACAACACCTACATCAACTGAAACAACACCTACATCAACTGAAACAACACCTACATCAACTGAAACAACACCTACATCAACAGAAAGTACAACTGTAACGACAACACCTACATCAACAGAAACAACACCTACATCAACTGAAACAACAACTACAACTGTAACAACAACACCTACATCAACAGAAACAACACCTAAATCAACTGAAACTACAACTGTAACGACAACACCTACATCAACGGAAACAACACCTACAACCGTTACAGTAACAACACCTACATCAACTGAAACAACAACTCCAACTGTAACGACAACACCTACATCAACAGAAACAACAACTCCAACTGTAACAACAACACCTATATCAACAGAAACAACACCTACATCAACAGAAACAACAACTCCAACTGTAACGACAACACCTACATCAACAGAAAAAACTACAACTGTAACGACAATACCTACATCAACAGAAACTACACCTACAACCTTTACAGTAACAACACCTACATCAACTGAAACATCTACAAGTACTTACACTGTGAATACAGGGCCAACTCCCATAACCCCAAGAAAGAACTTCACATCTCAATGTACATGCAAATATCAAAATTCCAGTTTCTATCAAGGTAAGTGTTACTTTAACAGTAATTATTCAATTTTTTTTTAATTTTCTGAATTTAAATTTTGTTTAATCCTTGTGCGTGTGTACATTGATCCAACTTTACATTCAGGTTCCACTGATGTTAAAATATTCTCTTATTGTTTACCTTCCTCACACATCAATTTATTATAATTATAGGATCAACAATCTATAATGAAACTGATAAAGCAGGTTGGTGCTTTATTGCCACCTGCAACTCCTCTTGTGTTATTGTGAAAACGTCTCAGCCATGCCCAACTTCTCCACCTACAAATCCACCTCCACCTCCAAAAGACTGTACAAATATCAAAAGAAAGGTAATTTAATTCAAGTAAGGTAGAAGTAAACTAATGCAGTGACACGTGTACAATTTCTACAAAATATCAGCATTTAATTTCTCAAACAATAACATAATAGCCTGAAATTGTTATTTGATATGATAATATCTGTTGGAATACAACACTTAATTAATTGTAATCTGTATAACTGTTAGGGGACTGAAGTATTAACTGGTAAGAATAGAACGAATACCTGAAATCATTTTATTTTTAATTAATCTTTGTTCATCAATTTGCTTGCATCATCCAGCATATGGAATCCTGGATTGAAGACTGCAAAAACAAAACATGCTACAATGGCAGCGTCTCATCGGTACCTCCAACGTGTGGCAAATTTGACAATGTCATACCTAAATGTACAAATGGAATTAAAGCTAAGAAGGTGCCTTATAACAATGGATGCTGCTCCAAGTATGAGTGTGAATGTAAGTTTAAGTCTTGCTCATGGACATTTCAAGTAAATTTCCTTAACATAAAAAATATTAATTGTCCTATAGCCATTGCCTTATGTTTACATTTGGTGTAACTTGGTTTGACAGGTAAATGCAGTGGCTGGGGTGACCCTCATTACAAAACTTTTGATGGAACATACTATGCTTTCCAAGGAAACTGTACATATGTTTTGTTCCAAGAAATCATCCCAAAATACAATATCAGTGTCCATGTTAAAAACTATTATTGTGATGTTAAAAATAATCTTGCCTGCCCAGAGTATGTGATTGTGAACTACAAATCCTACAAAATAAAGCTGACAAGCAACACTAAAGAGGTCCAGGTAAGTCTTAGAACTACAGCAAAACATTCACAGGCTCCAGAAAAACAAGCAAAAAATTAAATTGAACACAAAAGTCCTCAAAATTCATGACACTTTGCAAAATAACACCATACTGTAGAGAACAATTTTCGTCATAACTCAGGAAGACAATGTTTCACACAGGTCTATGTTAATGATGAAGTGAAACAACTAACTTACATGAATGACCAATTCTTCATCACCACCTCTGGCATGGCAGTTGTTGTGAACATCACTGAAATCAAAGTTGAGATTTTGGTCAATCATCAAGGCTTTGAGATCAATCTCCCATTCTCCTATTTCAACGGCAATACAGAGGGACAGTGTGGTGAGTACAGATCAGAGATCTCACGTCGCACTCGCAGCAAATAATACTTGCATTTGTTTTCTGTCTGTGAAATGTGTACAAAGTACTATATGTGTCAGTTTCATGTCATGTTTACCAGTGCAACAATTAAATTAGGTTTTCAATAACTGTAAACAACACTTAAACTTTGAATAATTCCATTACTTACTCTCTATTTACTCTCTAAAACTCTATACAATTAGATTTAATATAATTGAAATTTTCAGGGGTTTGTGACAACGACCGCACAGATGACTGCCGACGCCCTGATGGACAAATTGATCAATCGTGTGTGAACATGGCACAGCTTTGGATGGTCCCACCAGGATGCAATACCACTAAAAATCCAATTCAACCTACACCTCCACCCTCCTGCAATCCGAAGATTTGTGAACTCATCAAGGGCGAGTAAGGAAAAGCAAAGTGTTTTCCCTTTTAAATGTATTCGCTATTTTTTTTTTTTTTATTGTCTCAACCTCAGGTTGTTCCAAATGTGTTTGACTTTCTGTATTCTGTTGAAAAGTCATTCAAATTTGGAACAACATCACGGTGAGTAAAAGATAGCAGAATCTTCATTGTTGGGAGATGATCTCCCTTTCAAATGCCTGAAATCAAAAGTTTTGTATTTTGTATTTGTTTCTCCACAGAATGTTTGAGAAATGCCATGGGGTCATTCCTTATGAAAATTATTATGAGGCATGCAAATATGATGTGTGCCACATGGGAAAGAACTCTACCGGTTGCACCAGTCTGGAAGCGTATGCCCAGCTATGTGGCAAGGAGGGTATCTGTGTGGACTGGAGAACATCAGATCAACTCCAACATATGTGTGGTACGTAGAATGAACCCTAACCATTTGATTACATTTTTATTGTACTTTAAAGCTGGTTATCTTCTACATGTTGTACTTGAGAAGACTCTGAAACTTGGTTGTCATTGTTTTCTATAACAGAATACACGTGCCCCAGTCACAAAGTCTACAAGGGCTGTGGGCCTAAAATAGAAAAAACCTGCAGCACAAGGTAATCTCGCTCTACAATCCTCCATATCCATAGTCCTTAACAAGTGCTTGAATCATAATACTTAATGTCTGACGTGCATCTATCAACTCACCACTAGGTACAATGATTTATTTGTGGAGAAAGAATGTCAAAGCAAGGAGTGTCTTCAAACATTTATGGAAGGTTGTTTCTGTCCTGATAACACATATCAAGTTAGTTCAACGGTAGATAACTGTACAGCTTACTGCGGTAAGACATTTACTTTCTACGTCTTTTTTTAGATGAATGCACCTTTGTGTCTTATTCTCATTGATTTGGTTTGCATTCCCTCCATTGTAGATTGTATCGGTCCTGATGGATTACCTAGAATGGTATGTCTAGACAAAACAATATATTTTATCGAAAGTCAAGCATTTCACTATGCATTTGCCTTTCAAAATCAACACGATTCCTAACCATCGTCTACTTGCTTTTCCTTCTGTAGCCTGGGGATACATGGACCATGGGCTGTTCTGTATACACATGCTCCAATGAGACCTTTGGTATTAAAACTGTGCCTGTCAGCTGTCCGATTGAAAAGCCCTGTGGATCAGAACAAAAATTAATCATTGAAAACTGCTGCCCAACATGTGGTGAGTCAAGATGAAACAAATTTGATGGTGCATCATTACAACCTAGATAATGAATTTGCACGACTTACTAAAAATAATTCACTAAAAATAATTCTTATAGCACACACAGTCTACATTTGAACTATCCGTACATAAATGCATGCAAAATCATTTAAATTGACTTCCCATTTCATCTCAACCCATTTAGTGTGTGATCTCGAGCTGTGTCTTCAGAAGAAATGTGATGTGGGATTTGAGTTAGCAGAAAATAAAACTGAAGGCAGTTGCTGTCCACCCTGTGGTAAGTCTCAGAAACATTTCTGTGGTTTAAAATCTTAAACATAATGACTCATTTTGCTGTCAAACAAAAACAGACTTGTGAGTCATTCCAGTTAAGCAGCAACTTTTGAGTCCATGTTTTAAATATCCACAATAATACAATCTAAAGAAAATCCTGGAATATGAGATAAATGGCCAGTTCTTCACGTTAAAGGGACATGGAAATAATGACGACAGCTGCTCTAAGTAGTAGTGTCATTTTTATGTAATTGTTTTTTTGTGTGTAATTTTTATGTAAATGGTGAGATTGATATTTTATCAATACAAATGTACTGCATAATAGGAATGAATTTTTTTATTTTTCATAAAAAAATGAAATTAGCTTACATTATTATTAAATTGATATAATGACTTTTAAAATGGATTGTTCTGATTTCCAGTGCCTAAAGACGTCTGTGTGTACAATAACACTGAGTACCAGGTGAGTTCATAAGTTCACATTAATAAAGTAAATAAAGCAAAAGGAACTAGTGATAATATTTTCCACTTTTCTGACTCTCTGAAATCTCTTCGTTCTAGCCTGGAGCTAAAATCACCCCTGAGCCTTGTGTGGAATGTGACTGTCAAATGGATAAAGACCCACAGACTCAACTACACAGCGTCATGTGTGTTTCGAAAATCTGTTCACCTTGCCCGCAGGTAATAATTTAAAGTTTTGCTTGTGAACCATCATTGTATCAAATAATTCATTTGAAACTTCTTAAGAAGAATATATGAACTATTAAAGTGTTTTGTACTCCAAGGGTTATGAGCGTGTGGAACAAGATGGAGAGTGCTGTGGGACATGCAATCAAAATGCCTGTATTCACACTGCGCCAGACAACACCACTCATACTCTCAAGGTACATAACAAACTTTCCTTTACACTTTCAGTTCACTGGACAAATTATCTGCTCTATTCTTTGATCCTCATATAGCCTATCTTTTTTTTTTTTTTGTAGGATGGAGAGGGCATCGTCTACAAATGTGAAAGTGTGATATGTTATCAAGTCAATGGCACGTTCATGATAGAGAAGACCATGCCAAGCTGCCCTGTCATCAATGAAGATGACTGTGTGCCCGTGGGTTCAATATCTTAAGCAACATTTGATATATTTGTTGTTTGTATCTTATGTGGTGGTGCAACCTGTTAACAGTTCACACAAAAATGAAAAAAAAAAAAAACTCACCCTCATGTTGTTCCAAACCCGTAAGACTTTCGTTCATCTTCAAAACACAAATTTATTTTAAATGAAATTTATTTTAACACAAAGTTAAATGACATATGAGAGATTTCTGTCCAGCTACACAACTACCACTTTGATGCTTTGAAAAGTTCATAAAGAGATATTACAAAACTAATCCAGATGAATTAAGTGGTTTAGTCAAATTTTTCTGAAGAGACACCATCGCTTTATATGATGGACAGATTTAATTTAGACCTTTATCCACATATAAATATTGATTAGCAAACATACACAGAAGCTCAACCGTACTTGCCAGACGCGCAAGAAGGAAGCTCAAACGGGCTGCGTAACACGAGAATGAACCTAATTGGTTCTTCATGAAGCTGAAACGTAGCCTGGATGCCAGCCCGAACTCCGCCCACAACATTTTTTGGTCGGGAAGTTCAATCTGGACTCGATCCATTGAGGAGTAATTATGATCAGTCAAAAAATGTTCGGGCCAATCAAATTGCCAGGGCGGGCTTTATACGATGATGGACAGGTGATCTTCAGGGACGTAATCATCACGTTATCAAATATGTTATAAAATAAACCGACAGCGCATTCATTTTAATAGACAAACAGAAAACGGCAATCAAGGCATTTGTCGATAGGAAAGATATTTTTGCCGTCCTTCCTACATGATTCGGCAAAAGTGTAACTTATCAGCTGGCTCTGATGGTCGCTTAGAAGATGGGACGTAATGAAAAGCCTTTGGTTGTTTGGGTTTCTCCTTTGGTCGCACTCATGGAGGAGTAAGTAAAAGAAGCAACACTCGTTATTTAACTGTTGTTATATAGTTGAAAACTGCGCTATGCAACGTAGTTGACTTACTGCATTGCTCTAATTGGTCGTAGGTCTACCGACTATCCAATTGAGTGCAGAGGTTTTTTTTTCCTGGTTCGGTTAAGACACGCCTCATAATCAAAGCCCTATGGAGGAGTTTCAGGCTCATATTCTGACCAGAATATGAGTATGACTAAGTCAGGCTAGCTCAAACGGGCTGCGTAGCAAGAATGAACCTCATTGGTTCTCGCACGTCAAGCGAACATACTTGAGTTTCTGTTTTCTACAACTGATGTGTGCATTGATGAATGTTTACATGTGAATAATTTTGGACTAACCCGCTTAATTCATATGGATTGGTTTTACAAAGTGGTAGTTTTGTAGTTGTTAATGGAGGGACAGGAATTTCTCAGATTTCATTAAAAACAGGTTTTGGAACGACATGATTCACAAGGTAAATGTGGGACATTAAAAATGTTTTTTTTTAAAAGTAATTTACCTCAGAAAGAGTGAATTAGTTTAAATTAAACTTCATCATTGTCATCATCCACTCACTCTTAATGTAATTCCAAACCTGTATGACTTTTTCATCTGTGGAACACAAAAATATATTTGGATGTTTTGGCCCCATTGACTTTGTATAGACATTTGAAGAATGAAAAAAGTCAAATGACACATTGTTGCTAAACAAGGCTCTATTTGTCTGAACAGGGAACAATGGGACTCGATGCAGATGGATGTTGCAACACATGTAAGAAATTGTTTCCTTGTTCAAAATATCCTGATGGTAATCAAGGGGCAATCAATATCGCAGCATTTCAAGATAAATTCATGAATGATTCACACAGACATTTGTTCTTTTCAAGAATAAAGTCCAGCTTAACTGATAAAAATATTTAATATTTTTAATGATCTCCTATTACCTCTAATATATCAGGTGACCTCAAGAACTGTGTTGTGAAGAAGAACACCACAGACGTGACTGTAAATGGCTGCAAGTCCATCCAACCCATAGAAGTGACGTCCTGCGGTGGCAACTGTGACACCGGTTCAATGTGAGAGCACACGCACATCTAATTGATCATTGACCTGTGAAATATAGTTCACACTCACACACTCATACTGAACTACAAGTGTAAACATAGAGCAGTATCAGGCCAAAAATTTAGCTCCAAACATGAAATATGCTTTGATTATCCTAGACTTGCAAAGAGATTAGGATCATCTTTTTTAATAATAATCTGACTGAGGTTTTTTCCTGTAAACCTGCATAGGTATTCAGTGGAAACGAACATCATGAAGCACAGCTGTTCTTGCTGTCGTGAGGCGAAAACCCACATTAAAAAAGTGAAGCTGAAGTGTTCCGATGATAGCGAGATCCTTCATGACTACACCTTCATAGACAGCTGCAAATGTACTCCAATTACGTGTGAAAACCAGAATAACATTGGATAAAAGATCTTGTTCAGTTTTATCTGCTCTACTGGTACAATTGTGATTCCAGGAAATTGCAAAAAATATATATAATTTGGTGATTATTTTTTCAGCTTTTTATTCTATAACTATTATCTCTCCGGACATTTTCTGGGCTTTTTGAACATTTTGTTTCTTTTTTAGCAATGAAAAATGTGATTCTTTACATTTCCTTCTTATAAAATGAATGATGACTATAATAAAGCAAAATAAATGGCAACAAAACAGTATACTGGATTTTTACATGGTAGAAAACTGGTATCACTTCACAATAAGTTTCTATATGTTAAAGGGGTCAGAAAACATAATTCACAAGTAATAAGGTTTTTTTTTTTGACACTTTATTTGAAAAAAAAAAAAAAGTTCCAACCCTTATCAAACACACTTGAACCAGATAACCATATTCAGAATAACATTTGATATTTTAAAACAGGTGTGTTAAAGCTGATGGTAGATATCCAGGAACAGGATTAATGTAACCAAATTACCATCAAACCTCCATCAAATACTGGGAGGGAAACCTAGAAGCTCAAGACTGAAAACCTGAAAGTGAAACTAAAGTGAATTTGGACTGTAAAAAGCCTACTTTGTAAATCTAAGCCAATACAAAACATCACTAAACATGCATTGCATTCATCCTTTTATTTTAACGTTTACCTCTTAAAAGACAACTTGAAATAAGACCTATACATATATTTACACACCCATCCATGATTAATCATTTTATGCTAAATACGGTCCCACTTTATATTAAGTGGCTTTAAGTACTATGTACTTACATTGAAGTTACTACTTTGATACATTGGACTATGTACTATTTGTAATATGGTACAAATTAATCTTTCTCTTACGAGCAGTACTCTGACATGAAGCAAACAGTAATTAATATTTACACATTCAAAAGCCTCCCAAATGTTTGCTGTTGCGTCCAGAAAGATCTTTAGTCGTCAGTAACTAACCTCAAACATGTCAAACGGGCCGGGATGAAGATCTAAGTACACAACCCTGCTGAAAAAGGCTATTGAATCAAGCACTGTTCCTATTTGTCTTTGGATTATGTCATAGTATTGATTTAAGACATACGCATTGTTTGACTGTCAATCGATTAATGTTAAATGAAATTAATCACGTTTTAGCTGATGAATTAAATCAAAATGATCACAATTAAACAAAACATGGAGGTGGCACTTCAAGCCTGAACTGCTCTGACGACAAGAAACACACAGGACGACTAGTTTGTCATTCCCAGTGTTCTTGGGTCAGCCATTGTGCTTGGTGGCCATTTTGTTTTTGCCACGAAAAAACATTGTATTTCATCAACGGTTAGGTGGATTGGGAAGAAACTTGGTACATATCATCTGAATCATGCTCCAAACATATCTGAGAAAAATGGGCACAGTGGCACCAAGAGGTACTGAACAAAATATATAAAAAATATACATTTTCCTTCATTTGTTAAATCATTGTGAACCCGGGCTCTTTAGTTTCTTCAGAGTCATGCCGAGTGAATGAATTTGAAGATGTCTCTAGGCAACAGCGTTGACGTTTTGATGACTATATTAATTTGATGCCAACGCAACTAATTGGTCAAATCTTATGTAAGGGATCATGTACATAAATAATAATGGCGATAAGAGATATTGATTTGAGACAGAGACAATTTATATAGAGACATGCCACTTCCTAAATCCTCAACGGAAAACCCGTAACGCCAAAGATGGCGGTTGAATGCACATGTCCCGCCCCTCCCGCTGGAAAGCCAATCGTCTGCTTTTAACAGTCAAGCTGGGAAACATGTAAGCCTATCGTCTGGTTGCACTGACGCATGCGCACAGTTGAGGTTTGCGACAGCGGAGACGAGGACCCTTGCGCATGCGTTGTGAAAGCATAGCCTGTGGTGAAAAAGGTGTTATAAACCTTATTTTGGGGCAAAGTCATGAAACTTTTTCAGCAATTTTTATCATATTTTACTGCTGTTTCGATTCAAGCAGTTTTTATGTCCCGGTGACCAGTGAAAGTGCAGTTCTGACTCTCTGTCCATTCATTTAGACAGGAGCCTGGTCTTGTTAGTCCGAAATAGCTGCCCGGAGGCGTTGCCAAGATGGTGGCCGAGTGGCATGACTTGCCTAAAAGGACTTTGTTTGAGATGATGCTGTTTTTTAATCACATCTGTTTGTGAACTTCCCTTACCGTGTTTGAAACAACAGTCGCAAAAATGGCAGCAGCGGCAACACTAAATATTGATTTAATATTTTATTAGCTCACCAAACGCAAAACTTCCACCAGGAAAAAAGCGTACAGAACAAGCGTATAGCACTGACTTCAGGCCATGTCCACACTAATACATATATATTTTTCTCTCCGTTTTGGCCTTCCGTCCACACTGAGACGCCGTTTTAAGTCAACAGAAACGTATCGTTTGGAAAACGCTCTCCAAAGTGGATAAATTTGAAAACGCCGTTTTCGCGTTGTAGTGTGGACAGTGAAACCGGAGGTATTTCAAAACGATACCGTAAGTTTAGTCATGTGATCCATATAGTACCAATAGATATTCATGTTTGTCGGTACTGTGCCTGTTATGTGTTATTCATTTTTACACTATTGCCAAAATATGTTACTTTCTATGTTACTTAATATGTGCTATTCTTCATAGCACAGTACTGCAAAGATGACAGATAATGTACTTACATTTGCTGTCCTGCGGCAAAACAGGAGAGCAGTTGAGTTTTAGATCAAACATATAGTGAATGAATGCGACCTGGACGCATCAGTGATGGTGAGATATTTTGCTAAGTAACATTATCATGTTATTGTGCGATAACATTATTATTTTTTTTCCCATCTGTATAATCTCAGTGAGCTTTTGTGAAGTTTCACGCATGCGCAGTAAAGTGAATTTAGAAGTTTCTCATCCACACTCAGCTTTTTTTTAAACGAAAACCTCGTTTTTAAATGTATCCGGATTAATAGCCTCAGTTACCCGGATGAGCTTTTGTTATCAGTTTTTATCAGGGAAGAAAATACTACTGGATGGCGCGGTTGACCAATCAGAATCAAGTATTCCACAGAGCTGTGTAATAATAACAATTATATGATGTTATAAGTATATGTTTCCTCAAAAATATGTCAGCGTTTTCACTTTCTAAGAAGACTAAGAGTGCATGGAGTTGACAAGGATATTATGCTACTGTTTTATAAGGCAGCTATTGAGTCTATTGTTCGATATGGTATTGTAGTTTGGTGTGGTAACCTGTCAGTTAAATTAAAGTCATTACTCTAAACATTGATTAAGAGGGCAAGGAAAATAATTGGGCAAGTGCAACCGACTACTCTTAATGAGCTTTTTGAGGAGGCGGTAAAGAAACAGAGTTTTAAAATCATTAATGATCCGAATCATGTCCTATACAGTGAGTATGAAATGATGCCCTCAGGCAGAAAGTACAGGTTACCAAACTGCAGACTAAATCGGTTTAAATTTTCATTTGTACCGCTTTCTATTAAAATACTGAACTATTAACTGGGGTGTGTGGGTTAGAATTTAGGTTAATCATGTTATGTGTGACATTAATTTTTATAATTTGTGAATTTATGTAAATCATGTTTTGTGTGTTATGTATAATGTTATGTATAACGTGTTGCATCTGTGTCTCGAATGCCAAAGATGAATTTCTCCATCAGGAGACAATAAAGGCTAATCCAATCCAATCCAAGGAATTTCACTTTTAATCCCACTTGCCTAAAATCATAATTAGGGATGCTATACTCAATAAAATGTTACATTAAATAATATTAAGAGACAACTTTTGATTTGAATGTATTAATAATGTTGAAATTAAGATTAATAAATGCTATTTCGGTTTAATTCAGGTTAACTAATGTAGTTAACCAATGTTAACAAATGAATCATTATTGAAAAGTGTTACTGCTATTCAGTGGCGTAGGTTTGATTTTGAATTTGGTGGGGACAGGGACATCAATATATAAATATATTCTAAGTTTTCATCGAAAGTATTGCTTGGGATATGCGTCCCTACTAAATCCTTCACCCCAGCCGCTATGCCAATATTAGAGCAGCACCGAATTTGACCAAAAATAGTGAAAACGTGTTCAGTGCACTAGCTAATTTTACTTAGACAATTAAATAAATGAAATAGCTAAATGATTTATATTCCATAGTGTGGATGAGTCAAGAGTCACATCCTTGTACAGCCCAATTCAAACAAGCGATGAATGAATCATTGTGTGACAGAATTTGGTTCTCATCATTCAGTTGAAGTTTGTTTAGTCTCAAACACCAAAGAAGACATTAAATATTTATTTGTTTCAAGTATCTACCAAGCCCAAGGCCAAATTCAAGCTATGAGGTCCACCCTCTGATCACAAATTCCTCCCAAGCAAACTGATAGTCATTATAAATAGAAAAGTGCTGACAAACAGCTCACATTAGCTCTTGAGGATGGATGTTTCCACGGGGACTGTGAGGATGTCCCAGAAGTGGATGCTGAGATGGGTCGTCCTATTGGTCGGGCTGCAGTCCGTACAAGCAGGTAAGTAGACTACAACTGAAAAAAGAACAAAAACAAGAAAATGTAAGAAAAGCTCAAAATTCTTAAAATGAACATCCAAAATAAATCTCTGTTTAAAGACTTTATGGGAGATTATGCAGACATGGAAAATCCTATGGACTTTACCTGGCCGCCAACAACAACACCAGGTAAATATTGAATTGTCTTTACATGTATGTATTATACAAGATTGATTGGATTGATGCAGATTTGTAATGTACCAAATGTCACAGATGTCACATTCCACAACAAGTATACCTTAAAACTTCAAGTCAATACAAATATATTAAAGAATTATGTATCAAATATTTAGGTTTAAATTTACCATCGCTGAAATAAAAAAGTTAGAAAAACTGTTCTCTCTGTCTGGGAAAAAAATATTTTGAGGTATAAAAGTGTGCAGTAATAAAATCCAACATAAAATGTATTTTTGGTCACGCTTTAGATTAGTCCAATTCTCATTACTAATAACTATAACTTTTGCCTCAGTAAACTCCAGATTACTGCTTATTAATAGTTAGTTTGATAGTTGTTAAGTTAACTAGGTATTGAGTATGATTGTGGGATATAGAATATGGGCAATGCAGAATAAGGGATTAATATGCGCTTTGCACTAATATATACAGCCAATATCCTGCTAATATGCATGCTAATAAGGAACTATTTAACAGCGAGAAATTGGACCCTAAACTAAAGTGTTACTGTATTTTTCTCAGAATTTCAAAAATGTAACATTTTACATAAAAAAACTTAATTCGAATGATAATAAATCATAACCGTACAAGACTTTTACTATGGTTCAAAGACAATTGTAACACTAATTATGGAATAGAAAATTGAACTTTTAAACATATAGTGTTTCTAATTGTGAATAAAGTAATAATTATGATGTAAACTTTTACTATAAACACACATTATTCAGGACATATTGTTCAGTAACAACATGTTCATATGCATAAAGACATTATTACTTCTATTCAGTCGGTAAATGTATTAGTTACATATTATTTTACGGTGTCCTTGCAATGACTATACATTATGCATAATTACATGCATATAACCCTTATCCTAAGTGCCTTTAATCCTTTAAAATAAAGGGTTATGTCTTTGTTACACTTTCATTATAAGTTCTGAGTAATATAATTAACTACATGCACTTACTATTGGGGTTTGGTTTAGGGTTAGTTGAATGTAATTTATAGTTATTAATTAATTTTATGTAAAAAAAAAACATGTTCATGATTTGTACTCACAACATTTTTTCTTTTGTCAAATCAACTTAAATAATTGATCTGGATCAGATAACATAATATTGTGAGTTTCTGATGAGTAAATCAATCTCCTTAATTGTATTAACTCAATTTTTCCATTTCAATGAACTTAAATTTTTAAGGCAACCAGGTTACTTCATTTTTTTAAGTTAAACCAACAATATTTTTTTACAGTGTAACATATGAAACAATGACACAGTAAAATAAAGGCATATGCAAAACTTTAAATGAGAAGGAAAATGATTTGATTGTTTTCATTTTTGTCTTTTATATTTAGTTTTCACCACTACGACTGTGATGGTAACAAAAGGTATTTAAAAACATATTTTAAAGCATCAGTTTTTACACTTTAGGAAAGTAAATTGTATATTTTTGCTTACTGAAAGTTTTTACCAAAGAGTTTTACATTTATAAACTTATTTTAATCAACATTCCCTCTTGGTTTAGGTGAAGTGAATCCTGATCATCAGTCCACGATCTGCAGCACATGGGGAAATTTCCACTTCAAGACATTTGATGGTCATTTCTTTCAAGTGCCAGACACGTGCAACTACGTTCTGGCGGTGATGTGTGACAGCACAAATTCTGACTTTAACATCCAAATGCAAAGAGAGACTGTGAATGACTCAATCACTTTTAGCACAGTCTCAATAAAGCTGGAAGGGACAGTCATCAAAATCACTAACGGCGACATCACTATGGACAATCAGGCGTGAGTTGAACTTGAGTAACTTCTGCAATGTGCAGCCTTCATAAACTCATATTAATTAAGAGACAACACTGGTGAAGAACAGTGTCCAGACAGCACCTAAAATCTTCTACAATTACTTACACACAAATATGTTTAACTGAAGCTTCTTACACTTTTTCTTACAGCGTGTCTGTTCCAATCAATCAGAATGGACTTAAAATCGAGGGAAGTCAAACAAGTATTAAGATCTCCAAATATGGATTGACTGTCTTTTGGGAAGAGGACAACTCTATATTGGTATGATTTAACATTATTATCTTACCCTTTACTGTAATACAGTGAGATAACGAGCCAAACTGTAAAACTGATTTGATGTAGGCCTAATGTGTTGATAGCGGTAAAGAAAAACAAAGCAGAGTTTTCGTGCAGGTTCTTCTTCAGAATGAGTCAAGTTGAATCCATAAGCCTATAATGAAATCACACACACCCTTTAATGCCACTATATTTGTTTGCACACAATAAACTAAGACTAGGAAAATTAAACATCAAACAGGATATCAGTTCTACAAATCATTAAGCAAATATTAATCGTCTAAGTAAGCCACAGTGAACCAACAGGTATCTGACAGCTCAATGTTGATTTTAATAAGTGTGTTTGTACTGCCATAAACAAACATTATGACAGACAAATTCGAAGAAAATAAACTGTATTTGTTGCATCACTGACATTATTTTATAATACGATGTTCTCTAGATTGAACTTGCAGAGAAGTACCGAGGTCAGACCTGTGGACTCTGTGGAAACTACAATGGCAACAAGAATGATGATATTTCTGAAAACGGTAAACATGATGTTTTGATCAAATTACCTTTACCGATTATTTTGAATGCCAGACTAAATCTAAACACCTGATCACTGTATATACAGTACATAGACTTTAACCAGCTAAATCCCTCTCAGGTCCAGCCAGATGGAAGGTGTCCACACCAACCGAATCCTGCGAGGACGTTATACTTCCACCCAGGGATCAGTGCAACCAGGTATGAGACAAATCTGGAGTTTTAGAATAATTTTACCAGATTTTGGACTGATATAATACATTTTTTTTTTTTTACCTGATTGGGCATTCAATCATTTTTCACATTTTTTTTTTTCAACATTGGTTAATTATACTCTTAAAGGAGTAGTTCACTTTAAAAAAAAAAAACTTTTGCTGATAATTTACTCACCCCCATGTCATCCAAGATGTCCATGTCTTTCTTTCTTCAGTCGAAAAGAAATTAAGGTTTTTGATGAAAACATTCCAGGATTTTTCTCCATATAATGGACTTCAATGGCAACCAAACGGTTCAAGGTCCAAAAGACAGTTTCAGTGCAAACTGTTCAAAGGGCTTTGAATGATTCCAGATGATGAATAAGGGTCTTATCAAGCGAAATTTTAAAAAAGCGAAACGATCACTCATAACAAAGTTTAAGTTTTATAAGCACAAACGCTTGTCTTGCTCTGTTCTGTGATGCACATTCGTGACTCTCCTGTTCGAACTCGTTCATCAAAATGAAGGAGTCATTTGGTTCATTCAACGAACGAAATGAACAGATTGACTCGGAAAAAGATTCATTCATTTTGATGATCACAGAACAGAGGAAGACGAGCGTTTGTGCTTATAAAACGTAAACTTTGTTATGAGTGATCGTTTCGCTTGATAAGACCCTTATTCATCGTCTGGAATCGTTTAAAGCCCTTTGAACAGTTTGCACTGAATCTGTCTTTTGGACCTTGAACCGTTTGGTTCCCAGTGAAGTCCATTATATGGAGAAAAATCCTGGAATGTTTTCATCAAAAACCTTAATTTCTGTTCGACTGAAGAAAGAATGACATGGACATCTTGGATGACATGGGGGTGAGTAAATTATCAAAAAAAGTTTTTTTTTTTTTTTTAAAGTGAACTACTACTTTAAATTTTAAATTTTTCCCCCTAGACAAGTGTTTGCCAGCAGTATCTCAGCAGTCCAGGGTTTAGCGACTGTTACAATGTGATGGACATGGGTTCATTTGAAGAGGCCTGTGTGAACGACCTGTGTCAATGTTACGGCAATTACGACTGTCTCTGCAACACACTCACGGAGATTTCACGACAGTGCACACATGCTGGAGGAAATCCAGGAACATGGAGGACAGAGCAGCTCTGCCGTGAGTATCAGAAAAGAAACCAGTGGGAATAAAATGCCATTACCACCACTCCATTTACAGCTCAGGATTAAATGAAGATTAGAATTTTCTATGATTTATGAAGTATGATTAAAAATAAATAAATAATGGTTATAAACCCAATATACATATACTACTAGTTTGGACACATTTGACTGAATTTATGGGTCCAGCATTCAGTCCTGATACTGTACAGTGTGTGTTTGATATAATAATTATTCTTATTCTGTGGAGCAGCAAAGACATGTCCTCTAAACATGCAATACCTGGAGTGTGGAAGTCCGTGCAAGAACACCTGCAAAGATCCAACCGCAAGTCTAATGTGCAACGAACACTGTGTGGACGGCTGTTTCTGCCCTGAAGGTAACAATTTTAAATAGTTAACTTTTAACTTACAGCTTTTTAATGTTTTTGAAAGAAGTCTCTTATGCCCACCAAGGCTGCATTTTTTTTAAATATTATAAATACACTAATATTGTGAAATAGTGTTACAACTACTTTTTTCAAGATTCTTTTGATGAATAAAGTTCAAAAGCTCAGCATTTATTTGAAACAGAAATATTTTGTAACATTATAAATGTCTTTACTGCCATTTTTTATTTATTAAATACATCCTTGCTGAATAAACGTATTCATGTATTTTTCTTACTGACCCCAGACTTTTGAATGGTAGTGTAATCAATGAATTTCAGCATGTACAGACTCTAAATGCACGCTTTTCTTTTTGTAAAGGCACCGTTGAAGACGACATTGGTCAGAGTGGATGTGTTCCTGTGAACCAGTGCCCATGTGATCACGATGGCACAGTATATCGATCAGGAGAGTCTTACCAACAAGCTTGTAAAGAATGGTACATTTTTTATTTAAATGTTTTAGTCACATTGAAATTCATATACATTTACCGGAATACTTTTACCCATGCTAACACTGCTGTGGTATTTGTCAGTGTGTGTGACGCGGGACACTGGACCTGTACACACCTGGAATGTCCCGGAATCTGCTCTGTTGTGGGAGGGTCTCACGTCACCACCTATGATGGAAAGAGCTTCACCTTCAGCGGGAACTGTGACTACATCCTCACTAAGGTCTGTCAGGATATCAGATGATCCACAGATATTTTCTGTCAGGGCGAGATCAATGAAAGTCTTCACTTGTACTCTTATCCACACGGTTTATTATACTGTATAACAATCAGTATGGATATGATCATTTATATTATTACATATAATTTGGAGGTTCTTACCGTCCTTTTTTTTATTCCAGCACTCTAATGACAGTGATATTGCTGTTGTGGGAAACCTGGAAAAGTGTGATCCGGCCCGAACAGACACATGTCTAAATTCAGTGACCCTTGTCATCTCGGGGACCACTGTAAGTACAAGGTTGCATGTTTTTCATCATTTCGTATCCTAAAATAACCAATAAACTTTTTCTGGGAGAACAGCACTAGAATAGCTCACTTACTTTCAGCATAGTGAACAGAACATACCGCATACTTCTACAACATCCTCCAAGATGGACTTACAAAACATGATTTTGTTTTCTTTTTGTTGTTTTATGTGTAAAACAGATTCGTTTTTCCTCCACTGGAGATGTCACACTAAATGGAAACAGCCCATTAAAGCTTCCTGCTACCGAAGGTGGGTTATCCAAAATGGGTAACTTTTCTATTTAAAGCATGTTAACAATAAAATTTATATAGTTTTTCTCTGAAAAACCCAAAGCTCTATTTTTCAAATGTAGCATTAACAAAAGTCATTGTTGACTAGTTGTTTTGTATCCTAACCACCTATGTTGTTGTCTCAGGTCCTGTGAGCATCTTCCAGCCCTCTTCCTCCTTCATTATTGCTGATATGAAGAGTCTTCGTCTAGAGATCCAGTTGGCTCCAGTCATGCAGTTGTATATAGTAGCCAGCACTAAGGAGAAAGGAAAAATGAGCGGTAAGTTGTCAAAAAGTGATTAGAATCCACTTTTGCTACAGAAGGTAGAAGAAGTGAAATTGTAATTTACAAAACTATAATATACTAAACTGACCAATAGTTAAAACATATATTAAGTAAGTAATAATTGACGGGCCGTTGAATTATTAGAAAAATAATGCACACCCGAAGCGAATAATTCAATGTCCCACAGTAAATGTTTCCGCTTATTAAAAATGTACAACTTTTAGTTATACAACTACACATTTTTGTTGTAAAACTAAACTACGTTACCACACCACAAAACATTGTTCAGGTGATGTATTTCAAGACAGTTTTCAGGTTTTTCTCTTTTAAAATGCTCTTGTGTGAAGGACTAATTTCCTACACATCTAAACCGAAGCCTCCATTGCCAAGTCCAAAACGTCATTTTAGAGCTAGTAACAGAGAATTGAGCCACTGGCAACAGACTAATGCAATTTATTAAAGCAGTTATTAGAAAGAAAGAAAGAAAGAAAGAGAGAGAGAGAGAGAGAGAGAGAGAAAGAAAGAGAGAGCGAGAGAGAGAGAGAGTATGCGTGAGTATGTACAGAGTCAGTACGTGTGTGCATTGAGTGCAGAGAGAGTGGAAGAAAGAGTATGTGTTGTCCGTACATAATAAAATGTAATTCTTTAGCAAAACACATGGAAATAATTTGTTGGTTTTATCCTATTGTTTACTATATCTATTTCATTTGTCAGTGTTGTTGTGGGTTTTGTTTTTTCTGCTGTTGTAACCTGTAAAGACCTTTGAAAGAACTAAAATCATTTGTGATATAGAACTGTAATGCGGTCAAGACCTGCCTGGAACTAGTTTAGACGTGCTTATTATCCCTGAAAATAATTGCACACCTTAGAATGTTCATCAACCAATCAGATTCAAGCATTCAACAGCCCCAGAGTGTAATACAAAATAATGCGTTTGACTCCTTTAAGAAAGAACCTTTTAAAAATATATCTGTACATAATTAACGATTTATACAATGTCTATAATTCATTCGCTATTTTTAATTCTACACATTGCTTATTTCAGGTCTCTGTGGAAACTATAACGACATCCAAACAGATGACTTTAAAACAGAATCAGGCATCATAGAGGGCACACCGATAACTTTTGTCAACTTTTGGAAGAAAAACCCATACAGCTGTCCAGATCTTGAAAACACTTTTGACAACCCCTGTAGTCTGAGTGTGGACACAGGTATACATATTATTACAAATATTAAGAAATAACAAATAATCATATGTTGCAAATATTACAGAACTATGTCAAGTCTATATTCTTTCCATTCAGAGACCCTTGCTAAAGACTGGTGTTCCCGTCTCACAAACCCAAATGGCACCTTCTCCCAATGTCATTCAGAAATATGTCCTGAGATTTACTACCAAGTGAGTGTTTTTGCACAGAATTTCACACTTTTCTCTAAAATGAACTGTATATGTATGAATGAAATATAACTGAATCTGGGTTTCATCCTTTGTAGTGGTGTGTCTATGACACCTGCAAGTGTGCAGATATTAGGAAGTGTATGTGTGCGGCCGTGTCCACGTATGCCCACGCATGTGCTGCCAAAGGAGTCATTCTCCAGGGCTGGATGGATTCAGACCCCTGTGGTGAGAACATTTCGTTCATGTACTGAATTTGAATTATATTCTGTTGATTTGGAAATGAAACAATGAATAATAATAAAAATGTGTTTATTCTGTGCTCAGTATCCGAGTGTTCAGGAAACATGAAGTACTCTTACGGAGTGACCAGCTGTGGAAGCACCTGCCGCTCTCTCAGTGTACAAGATAACACCTGCCAAGGGTCCTTCACACCTGTAGATGGCTGTGTCTGTCCTGAGGGAACATACCTCAACGAAGCCGGCAGCTGTGTACATGCTGACCAGTGTCCTTGTTACAAAGGTGACAAGGTCATAGAGTCATCAGGAGTATCCTACATAGATGGTGAAGCATGGTATGAGTTCCTTATTTCATACCCAATGGATTGTTGGCAGAATATGAATGATAACACTTGATGACCATTAGTAAATACTGACTTGTACAATTTTGTCATATTACAGCACCTGTAACCTTGGCAAATTGCATTGCTCCAGTCCAGAAGGTAAGTTGCAAATTCCACTACTCAAGTTATCAATGGTATGATGAAGTTTCCCATCTATGTGCCTGTTGTGTTTGTAGACTGCGTGGCTCCGATGGTCTTCTTCAAATGCTCAAATTATGAACCTGGAAAAAAGGGAACAGAATGTCAAAGGACATGTCAAAACCAAGACCTAAACAACTGCGTGAGTTTGGATTGGGAAAGCATACCTGACATTTCTAAAAAAAAGTTTACATGGTTTTGATTGCCACACATGGATTTGTAAAAACAGAGCATTGAAAATAAGGAGAGTTAACACTGCTGGACCTTCTCACTTTGTTCTGCCTATAGGTGAGCACAGGGTGTGTATCAGGGTGTATGTGTCCAGACGGCCTTCTGGCTGATGGCAATGGTGGGTGTGTGGAGAGGGAAAAATGCAATTGTACCCACAACGGAGTCTCCTATTCTCCTGGGGGCCAAGTTCAGCAGGACTGTAACACCTGGTGAGTCGGCATTGATAGAAATAGGTAGGGCTGGGTACCGAGTTCGGTACTTTTTAGGTACCGACTGAATTGCCTCGGTACTACCAAGCAGTGTTGTAGTCGAGACCACCTCACTCGAGTCCGAGTCAAGACCGAGTCCATAGAGAGTCGAGTCCGAGTCGAGTACAAGACCAGAGACGGTCGAGTCCGAGTCAAGACCGAGACCAGTGAGGGTTGATTACCTAATTTACTTTTATTTACTTAGAGAAATCCTTTTTTTTTTTTTTTCCTACTGAATTTACTTAGAGTTTAAAAAATATGATCAGTTTAGGGTAGTAGGTGGTGTTAAAATAATTTTATTACAATTTGTCATGCGCAGTTGCACACTAGAAAATCACCAATCACTGGGCGTGTCAATCAATTTAAAGAAATATTTTATTAACATACATTAATAATCATGAAAAATATTTTGAATTGAACTCGAGTGGACTCGGGAATAAGTCCGAGTCCTAAAAAAAAAAATGTTCGAGTACGAGTCAATTCCGAGTCCAAATGCACACGAGTCCATGACAAGACCAAGACCATTAAAATATGGTCTCGAGACCGAGTCCGAGACGAGTCCGAGTCTCGAGTACTACAACACTGCTACCAAGTATCGAAAAACGACTTCTTGTTTGGTACTACATTTCGATACCTAAGGGGTTAACTCGGCAACGTCAGTGAGCCAATACAAACAATAGTTTACGCGGTTGCGCCCACGTTGGTTCACGTGAACCAACCCCCTGAAGAAGACGTTGAAAAGATCTAAAGTGTGGCTACATTTCTCGAGGCTTGATGCCAACTGCGTGCGATGCAATATTTGTCGCAAAATAATTGCTGCAAAGTCCGGAACCACGAGTAATATGACAAAGCACTTGACAGTGCAGTATGTAATCTTGTATCTGGATTTTATAAAATTGGTATCGAAAAAAGTATCGTTCAGGAACTGGTATCGAAATCAACGTATCGGTACCGAAATTGTTTGAACGATACCCAGCCCTAGAAATAGGAGAGAATGTTACAGCTATACCATCACCAAGTGTGCGCTAATTTTTCTCTGCACAAAACAATAAGAAATTGTCAAAACTTGTAATGTACTTTACAACTACTTTAAATTTTCACCCAAAATGGGAGGTAAGAAAGAAAAAAGCTGGTAATGACTGTACATCCAAGGGTTCATTTGTGAATTGCTGTTTATATTTCAGCACGTGCATAAACGGGATGTGGAGTTGTACAGATAAAGAGTGTTACGGCACCTGTACCGTCTTTGGCGACGGCCATTTCAAGACTTTTGATGGCAGGAAATATTCCTTCCACGGAGACTGTGAACACACCTTAGCCCACGTATGTTTTTATCAATTTGGGTTCTTGCCTAATTTAAGAAGAAGAAAATAAAGTACAATTCTAACCTGACACACAATTCATTTGTGCAACCCCTCTAGGATTACTGCAATCAAGAACAGAGTCCGTATTCTTTACGCCTGGTCACAGAGAACATTCCCTGTGGCAGCAGCAGCACCATTTGCTCCAAGTCCATTAATCTCTTTTTTGGGGTGAGGTTATTTCATAGCTCAAAATCAGCTTGAGTTGAGTATAATAGTATTGTAAAATGTAGAATATAGACATGAGGATGGACATGTAGAAACAATTACATTCAAAACCTAAGTTTCATTTTTGTTCTCGATGTCATCATAACATCATGAGAGAGTTATATCCAGTTATTTGTGGATAACTTCATTTCAATGACGTTTTAAATCCTGCAGAGATACAAGTTGGTTTTATCCGAAGAGAATGGGATTAAAGTTGTTGAAAGCAATGGCACTGAATACCAATATCAAATCCATACAGCTGGGATATACAATGTCATAGAGGTCAAAGGTCTTTTGAACTTAATCTGGGACAATAAAACGAGTCTGATGCTCCAACTCCATCCTAAATTTAAGGTAAGCATTACCCCTGCATTAACAAACACACAATCATCCTGTACACGTTCCTGTTCATTCTCTTACCTTAACATACACATGATCTCCATTACAGGGAAAGGTGTGTGGACTGTGTGGAAACTTTGATGGTAATGCGAACAATGACTTTGTAAAGCACGATGGAGAAGAGGTGACTGATGCAGTGGCATTTGGGAATAGTTGGAAGGTGAATCCCAGCTGTCCAGAAATGAGTACCTTGATGAACCCATGTGAACAAAATCCACATCGGAGTGCCTGGGCTATCAAACAATGCAGCATCATCACAAGCCCTGTCTTTACAGACTGCCATTCACGTGTATGTAAAATTATATACTTTGTGAATTCAGAAAGTTGTTGGTCTTCTGGATTTTCTTTGAATGGTCAGCCTTTGTTGGTTCCATGCATGAAACAAACAAAATAATCGTACCATTTTACATTTTAGCATAGCACATACAACCGGTTACCCTAAAGGTTCTACTGACTTTCCTGTCTCTAGGTGGCCCCTGCCCCATACTATGATGCCTGTGTAAGGGACACCTGTGCATGTGACAGCGGAGGTGACTGTGATTGTTTCTGTACTGCAGTGGCAGCTTATGCTGCTGAATGCCGTAAAAAAGGAGCTTGTGTGGCATGGAGGAGTCCAAACATTTGCCGTAAGTCCCAATACTGTTAGAAAATGTATTTATTGCATTCAAAATGTGCACCCTCAGATTTTGTCTAGGTCTATCAAAACTCATTACCTTCTATTGTTTGATCTCCTATTAACTTTGTCATACTGCTGACTGAATTGGTTGTTCTTGCAGCTTTATTCTGTGAGTACTACAACAACCCTCAAAAGGAATGCGAGTGGCACTACAAAGCTTGTGGATCGACCTGCATGAAAACTTGCAGAAACCCAGCAGGAACCTGCTCTAATCAAATTCCTCTCCTGGAGGGTATGGAATATTCTTTAAAACTTTGAAAACAAGCTTTTGTACAGAATTGAATAAAATAATACTTAGGGCAATTGTAGTCCAAACTGCAAAATCAGGTTCTATTCTATAGTCAAGAAACATTGAGACAAAAGAAATGTGTGGGTCTTGTTTATTCAATCTGGCCTTTTATTATACTCCTAGGGTGTTTTCCTCAGTGCCCTTCAGAGAGGCCATTTTTGAGGGAGGACACCAGGAAATGTGTTACAGAGGCAGAATGTGTTTCTCTGTGTACCTATGATGGGAAGATATATACTACCGGAGAAGTGGTGTACGATACCACAGATGGGAATGGAACATGTTTTACTGCTCTATGTGGATCTAATGGCATGATAATAAGAACTATTACAAAATGCATGACAACAACTACGCCATTCACTTTCACAACACCACCACAAACTACTAAAACAACAATCACAATACCGACCGCCCAGATTTTCACTTCAGCACCTACTACAGTAACACTAACAACACCGAAAATGCCGACAGCAACTACAACTGCTGTTCCACCAACATTACCTGGAATTACTACTAGTATTACTGCTGAAACACCATCTACAGAATCTCCACCTCCCACAGGAACAGAAACACCATCAACAGCTACAACAACTGCTGCTCCATCAACACCAACAGCACCTGAAATTTCTACTACTGCTGTTACTGCTCCAACACCATTTATCGAAACATCCCCTCCCACAGGAACAGAAACACCATCAACAGCTACAACAACTGCTGCTCCATCAACACCAACAGCACCTGGAATCACTACTGCTGTTACTGCTCCAACACCATTTATCGAAACATCTCCTCCCACAGGAACAGAAACACCATTAACAGCTACAACAACTGCTGCTCCATCAACACCAACAGCACCTGAAATTTCTACTACTGCTGTTACTGCTCCAACACCATTTATCGAAACATCACCTCCCACAGGAACAGAAACACCATCAACAGCTACAACAACTGCTGCTCCATCAACACCAACAGCACCTGAAATTTCTACTACTGCTGTTACTGCTCCAACACCATTTATCGAAACATCTCCTCCCACAGGAACAGAAACACCATCAACAGCTACAACAACTGCTGCTCCACCAACACCAACAGCACCTGAAATTTCTACTACTGCTGTTTCTGCTCCAACACCATTTATCGAAACATCACCTCCCACAGGAACAGAAACACCATCAACTGCTACTACAACTGCTGCTCCATCAACACCAACAGCACCTGAAATTTCTACTACTGCTGTTACTGCTCCAACACCATTTATCGAAACATCCCCTCCCACAGGAACAGAAACACCATCAACAGCTACTACAACTGCTGCTCCATCAACACCAACAGCACCTGAAATTTCTACTACTGCTGTTACTGCTCCAACACCATTTATCGAAACATCTCCTCCCACAGGAACAGAAACACCATCAACAGCTACAACAACTGCTGCTCCACCAACACCAACAGCACCTGAAATTTCTACTACTGCTGTTTCTGCTCCAACACCATTTATCGAAACATCACCTCCCACAGGAACAGAAACACCATCAACTGCTACTACAACTGCTGCTCCATCAACACCAACAGCACCTGAAATTTCTACTACTGCTGTTACTGCTCCAACACCATTTATCGAAACATCACCTCCCACAGGAACAGAAACACCATCAACTGCTACTACAACTGCTGCTCCATCAACACCAACAGCACCTGAAATTTCTACAACTGCTGCTCCACCAACACCAACAGCACCTGAAATTTCTACTACTGCTGTTACTGCTCCAACACCATTTATCGAAACATCACCTCCCACAGGAACAGAAACACCATCAACAGCTACAACAACTGCTGCTCCATCAACACCTACATCACCTGGAATTTCTACTACTGCTGTTACTGCTCCAACACCATTTATCGAAACATCCCCTCCCACAGGAACAGAAACACCATCAACAGCTACAACAACTGCTGCTCCATCAACACCAACAGCACCTGAAATTTCTACTACTGCTGTTACTGCTCCAACACCATTTATCGAAACATCTCCTCCCACAGGAACAGAAACACCATCAACAGCTACAACAACTGCTGCTCCATCAACACCAACAGCACCTGAAATTTCTACTACTGCTGTTACTGCTCCAACACCATTTATCGAAACATCCCCTCCCACAGGAACAGAAACACCATCAACAGCTACTACAACTGCTGCTCCATCAACACCAACAGCACCTGAAATTTCTACTACTGCTGTTACTGCTCCAACACCATTTATCGAAACATCCCCTCCCACAGGAACAGAAACACCATCAACAGCTACAACAACTGCTGCTCCATCAACACCAACAGCACCTGAAATTTCTACTACTGCTGTTACTGCTCCAACACCATTTATCGAAACATCTCCTCCCACAGGAACAGAAACACCATCAACAGCTACAACAACTGCTGCTCCATCAACACCAACAGCACCTGAAATTTCTACTACTGCTGTTACTGCTCCAACACCATTTATCGAAACATCCCCTCCCACAGGAACAGAAACACCATCAACAGCTACTACAACTGCTGCTCCATCAACACCAACAGCACCTGAAATTTCTACTACTGCTGTTACTGCTCCAACACCATTTATCGAAACATCCCCTCCCACAGGAACAGAAACACCATCAACAGCTACTACAACTGCTGCTCCATCAACACCAACAGCACCTGAAATTTCTACTACTGCTGTTACTGCTCCAACACCATTTATCGAAACATCTCCTCCCACAGGAACAGAAACACCATCAACAGCTACAACAACTGCTGCTCCATCAACACCAACAGCACCTGAAATTTCTACTACTGCTGTTACTGCTCCAACACCATTTATCGAAACATCCCCTCCCACAGGAACAGAAACACCATCAACAGCTACAACAACTGCTGCTCCATCAACACCAACAGCACCTGAAATTTCTACTACTGCTGTTACTGCTCCAACACCATTTATCGAAACATCTCCTCCCACAGGAACAGAAACACCATCAACAGCTACAACAACTGCTGCTCCATCAACACCAACAGCACCTGAAATTTCTACTACTGCTGTTACTGCTCCAACACCATTTATCGAAACATCCCCTCCCACAGGAACAGAAACACCATCAACAGCTACAACAACTGCTGCTCCATCAACACCAACAGCACCTGAAATTTCTACTACTGCTGTTACTGCTCCAACACCATTTATCGAAACATCCCCTCCCACAGGAACAGAAACACCATCAACAGCTACAACAACTGCTGCTCCATCAACACCAACAGCACCTGAAATTTCTACTACTGCTGTTACTGCTCCAACACCATTTATCGAAACATCTCCTCCCACAGGAACAGAAACACCATCAACAGCTACAACAACTGCTGCTCCATCAACACCAACAGCACCTGAAATTTCTACTACTGCTGTTACTGCTCCAACACCATTTATCGAAACATCTCCTCCCACAGGAACAGAAACACCATCAACAGCTACAACAACTGCTGCTCCATCAACACCAACAGCACCTGAAATTTCTACTACTGCTGTTACTGCTCCAACACCATTTATCGAAACATCTCCTCCCACAGGAACAGAAACACCATCAACAGCTACTACAACTGCTGCTCCATCAACACCAACAGCACCTGAAATTTCTACTACTGCTGTTACTGCTCCAACACCATTTATCGAAACATCCCCTCCCACAGGAACAGAAACACCATCAACAGCTACTACAACTGCTGCTCCATCAACACCAACAGCACCTGAAATTTCTACTACTGCTGTTACTGCTCCAACACCATTTATCGAAACATCACCTCCCACAGGAACAGAAACGCCATCAACAGCTACTACAACTGCTGCTCCATCAACACCAACAGCACCTGAAATTTCTACTACTGCTGTTACTGCTCCAACACCATTTATCGAAACATCACCTCCCACAGGAACAGAAACACCATCAACAGCTACAACAACTGCTGCTCCACCAACACCAACAGCACCTGAAATTTCTACTACTGCTGTTTCTGCTCCAACACCATTTATCGAAACATCTCCTCCCACAGGAACAGAAACACCATCAACAGCTACAACAACTGCTGCTCCATCAACACCAACAGCACCTGAAATTTCTACTACTGCTGTTACTGCTCCAACACCATTTATCGAAACATCTCCTCCCACAGGAACAGAAACACCATCAACAGCTACAACAACTGCTGCTCCATCAACACCAACAGCACCTGAAATTTCTACTACTGCTGTTACTGCTCCAACACCATTTATCGAAACATCCCCTCCCACAGGAACAGAAACACCATCAACAGCTACAACAACTGCTGCTCCATCAACACCAACAGCACCTGAAATTTCTACTACTGCTGTTACTGCTCCAACACCATTTATCGAAACATCACCTCCCACAGGAACAGAAACACCATCAACAGCTACTACAACTGCTGCTCCATCAACACCAACAGCACCTGAAATTTCTACTACTGCTGTTACTGCTCCAACACCATTTATCGAAACATCCCCTCCCACAGGAACAGAAACACCATCAACAGCTACAACAACTGCTGCTCCATCAACACCAACAGCACCTGAAATTTCTACTACTGCTGTTACTGCTCCAACACCATTTATCGAAACATCTCCTCCCACAGGAACAGAAACACCATCAACAGCTACTACAACTGCTGCTCCATCAACACCAACAGCACCTGAAATTTCTACTACTGCTGTTACTGCTCCAACACCATTTATCGAAACATCTCCTCCCACAGGAACAGAAACACCATCAACAGCTACAACAACTGCTGCTCCATCAACACCAACAGCACCTGAAATTTCTACTACTGCTGTTACTGCTCCAACACCATTTATCGAAACATCCCCTCCCACAGGAACAGAAACACCATCAACAGCTACTACAACTGCTGCTCCATCAACACCAACAGCACCTGAAATTTCTACTACTGCTGTTACTGCTCCAACACCATTTATCGAAACATCCCTCCCACAGGAACAGAAACACCATCAACAGCTACTACAACTGCTGCTCCATCAACACCAACAGCACCTGAAATTTCTACTACTGCTGTTACTGCTCCAACACCATTTATCGAAACATCCCCTCCCACAGGAACAGAAACACCATCAACAGCTACTACAACTGCTGCTCCATCAACACCAACAGCACCTGAAATTTCTACTACTGCTGTTACTGCTCCAACACCATTTATCGAAACATCCCTCCCACAGGAACAGAAACACCATCAACAGCTACTACAACTGCTGCTCCATCAACACCAACAGCACCTGAAATTTCTACTACTGCTGTTACTGCTCCAACACCATTTATCGAAACATCCCTCCCACAGGAACAGAAACACCATCAACAGCTACTACAACTGCTGCTCCATCAACACCAACAGCACCTGAAATTTCTACTACTGCTGTTACTGCTCCAACACCATTTATCGAAACATCCCCTCCCACAGGAACAGAAACACCATCAACAGCTACAACAACTGCTGCTCCATCAACACCAACAGCACCTGAAATTTCTACTACTGCTGTTACTGCTCCAACACCATTTATCGAAACATCCCCTCCCACAGGAACAGAAACACCATCAACAGCTACAACAACTGCTGCTCCATCAACACCAACAGCACCTGAAATTTCTACTACTGCTGTTACTGCTCCAACACCATTTATCGAAACATCCCTCCCACAGGAACAGAAACACCATCAACAGCTACTACAACTGCTGCTCCATCAACACCAACAGCACCTGAAATTTCTACTACTGCTGTTACTGCTCCAACACCATTTATCGAAACATCTCCTCCCACAGGAACAGAAACACCATCAACAGCTACAACAACTGCTGCTCCATCAACACCAACAGCACCTGAAATTTCTACTACTGCTGTTACTGCTCCAACACCATTTATCGAAACATCCCCTCCCACAGGAACAGAAACACCATCAACAGCTACTACAACTGCTGCTCCATCAACACCAACAGCACCTGAAATTTCTACTACTGCTGTTACTGCTCCAACACCATTTATCGAAACATCTCCTCCCACAGGAACAGAAACACCATCAACAGCTACAACAACTGCTGCTCCATCAACACCAACAGCACCTGAAATTTCTACTACTGCTGTTACTGCTCCAACACCATTTATCGAAACATCCCCTCCCACAGGAACAGAAACACCATCAACAGCTACTACAACTGCTGCTCCATCAACACCAACAGCACCTGAAATTTCTACTACTGCTGTTACTGCTCCAACACCATTTATCGAAACATCCCCTCCCACAGGAACAGAAACACCATCAACAGCTACAACAACTGCTGCTCCATCAACACCAACAGCACCTGAAATTTCTACTACTGCTGTTACTGCTCCAACACCATTTATCGAAACATCTCCTCCCACAGGAACAGAAACACCATCAACAGCTACAACAACTGCTGCTCCATCAACACCAACAGCACCTGAAATTTCTACTACTGCTGTTACTGCTCCAACACCATTTATCGAAACATCTCCTCCCACAGGAACAGAAACACCATCAACAGCTACTACAACTGCTGCTCCATCAACACCAACAGCACCTGAAATTTCTACTACTGCTGTTACTGCTCCAACACCATTTATCGAAACATCTCCTCCCACAGGAACAGAAACACCATCAACAGCTACTACAACTGCTGCTCCATCAACACCAACAGCACCTGAAATTTCTACTACTGCTGTTACTGCTCCAACACCATTTATCGAAACATCCCCTCCCACAGGAACAGAAACACCATCAACAGCTACTACAACTGCTGCTCCATCAACACCAACAGCACCTGAAATTTCTACTACTGCTGTTACTGCTCCAACACCATTTATCGAAACATCCCTCCCACAGGAACAGAAACACCATCAACAGCTACTACAACTGCTGCTCCATCAACACCAACAGCACCTGAAATTTCTACTACTGCTGTTACTGCTCCAACACCATTTATCGAAACATCCCCTCCCACAGGAACAGAAACACCATCAACAGCTACTACAACTGCTGCTCCATCAACACCAACAGCACCTGAAATTTCTACTACTGCTGTTACTGCTCCAACACCATTTATCGAAACATCCCTCCCACAGGAACAGAAACACCATCAACAGCTACTACAACTGCTGCTCCATCAACACCAACAGCACCTGAAATTTCTACTACTGCTGTTACTGCTCCAACACCATTTATCGAAACATCCCCTCCCACAGGAACAGAAACACCATCAACAGCTACTACAACTGCTGCTCCATCAACACCAACAGCACCTGAAATTTCTACTACTGCTGTTACTGCTCCAACACCATTTATCGAAACATCCCCTCCCACAGGAACAGAAACACCATCAACAGCTACTACAACTGCTGCTCCATCAACACCAACAGCACCTGAAATTTCTACTACTGCTGTTACTGCTCCAACACCATTTATCGAAACATCCCCTCCCACAGGAACAGAAACACCATCAACAGCTACTACAACTGCTGCTCCATCAACACCAACAGCACCTGAAATTTCTACTACTGCTGTTACTGCTCCAACACCATTTATCGAAACATCACCTCCCACAGGAACAGAAACACCATCAACAGCTACTACAACTGCTGCTCCATCAACACCAACAGCACCTGAAATTTCTACTACTGCTGTTACTGCTCCAACACCATTTATCGAAACATCCCCTCCCACAGGAACAGAAACACCATCAACAGCTACTACAACTGCTGCTCCATCAACACCAACAGCACCTGAAATTTCTACTACTGCTGTTACTGCTCCAACACCATTTATCGAAACATCTCCTCCCACAGGAACAGAAACACCATCAACAGCTACAACAACTGCTGCTCCATCAACACCAACAGCACCTGAAATTTCTACTACTGCTGTTACTGCTCCAACACCATTTATCGAAACATCCCCTCCCACAGGAACAGAAACACCATCAACAGCTACTACAACTGCTGCTCCATCAACACCAACAGCACCTGAAATTTCTACTACTGCTGTTACTGCTCCAACACCATTTATCGAAACATCTCCTCCCACAGGAACAGAAACACCATCAACAGCTACAACAACTGCTGCTCCATCAACACCAACAGCACCTGAAATTTCTACTACTGCTGTTACTGCTCCAACACCATTTATCGAAACATCTCCTCCCACAGGAACAGAAACACCATCAACAGCTACAACAACTGCTGCTCCATCAACACCAACAGCACCTGAAATTTCTACTACTGCTGTTACTGCTCCAACACCATTTATCGAAACATCTCCTCCCACAGGAACAGAAACACCATCAACAGCTACTACAACTGCTGCTCCATCAACACCAACAGCACCTGAAATTTCTACTACTGCTGTTACTGCTCCAACACCATTTATCGAAACATCTCCTCCCACAGGAACAGAAACACCATCAACAGCTACTACAACTGCTGCTCCATCAACACCAACAGCACCTGAAATTTCTACTACTGCTGTTACTGCTCCAACACCATTTATCGAAACATCCCCTCCCACAGGAACAGAAACACCATCAACAGCTACTACAACTGCTGCTCCATCAACACCAACAGCACCTGAAATTTCTACTACTGCTGTTTCTGCTCCAACACCATTTATCGAAACATCTCCTCCCACAGGAACAGAAACACCATCAACAGCTACTACAACTGCTGCTCCATCAACACCAACAGCACCTGAAATTTCTACTACTGCTGTTACTGCTCCAACACCATTTATCGAAACATCCCCTCCCACAGGAACAGAAACACCATCAACAGCTACTACAACTGCTGCTCCATCAACACCAACAGCACCTGAAATTTCTACTACTGCTGTTACTGCTCCAACACCATTTATCGAAACATCTCCTCCCACAGGAACAGAAACACCATCAACAGCTACTACAACTGCTGCTCCATCAACACCAACAGCACCTGAAATTTCTACTACTGCTGTTACTGCTCCAACACCATTTATCGAAACATCACCTCCCACAGGAACAGAAACACCATCAACAGCTACTACAACTGCTGCTCCATCAACACCAACAGCACCTGAAATTTCTACTACTGCTGTTACTGCTCCAACACCATTTATCGAAACATCTCCTCCCACAGGAACAGAAACACCATCAACAGCTACAACAACTGCTGCTCCATCAACACCAACAGCACCTGAAATTTCTACTACTGCTGTTACTGCTGAAACACCATTTATCGAAACATCCCCTCCCACAGGAACAGAAACACCATCAACAGCTACTACAACTGCTGCTCCATCAACACCAACAGCACCTGAAATTTCTACTACTGCTGTTACTGCTCCAACACCATTTATCGAAACATCCCCTCCCACAGGAACAGAAACACCATCAACAGCTACTACAACTGCTGCTCCATCAACACCAACAGCACCTGAAATTTCTACTACTGCTGTTTCTGCTCCAACACCATTTATCGAAACATCCCCTCCCACAGGAACAGAAACGCCATCAACTGCTACTACAACTGCTGCTCCATCAACACCAACAGCACCTGAAATTTCTACTACTGCTGTTACTGCTCCAACACCATTTATCGAAACATCCCCTCCCACAGGAACAGAAACACCATCAACAGCTACTACAACTGCTGCTCCATCAACACCAACAGCACCTGAAATTTCTACTACTGCTGTTTCTGCTCCAACACCATTTATCGAAACATCACCTCCCACAGGAACAGAAACACCATCAACAGCTACTACAACTGCTGCTCCATCAACACCAACAGCACCTGAAATTTCTACTACTGCTGTTACTGCTCCAACACCATTTATCGAAACATCCCCTCCCACAGGAACAGAAACGCCATCAACAGCTACTACAACTGCTGCTCCATCAACACCAACAGCACCTGAAATTTCTACTACTGCTGTTACTGCTGAAACACCATTTATCGAAACATCTCCTCCCACAGGAACAGAAACACCATCAACAGCTACTACAACTGCTGCTCCATCAACACCAACAGCACCTGAAATTTCTACTACTGCTGTTACTGCTCCAACACCATTTATCGAAACATCTCCTCCCACAGGAACAGAAACACCATCAACAGCTACTACAACTGCTGCTCCATCAACACCAACAGCACCTGAAATTTCTACTACTGCTGTTACTGCTCCAACACCATTTATCGAAACATCTCCTCCCACAGGAACAGAAACGCCATCACCTGCTACTACAACTGCTGTTCCACCAACACCTACATCACCTGGAATCACTACTGTTGTTACTGCTCCAACACCATTTATCGAAACATCACCTCCCACAGGAACAGAAACACCATCAACAGCTACAACAACTGCTGCTCCATCAACACCAACAGCACCTGGAATCACTACTGCTGTTACTGCTGAAACACCATCTACAGAATCTCCACCTCCCACAGGAACAGAAACGCCACCAACCACAACATTTGTTACATCAACTCTTTTTACAACAGAACCAATGTTCACGGTGCATACAGAATCAACAACTGAAATGATACATACCACAGCACCTCAAATTATCATCACAACGAGCTGTCATTGCACATATGCAAATCAAACATTCCCACCTGGTAAATAATACATGAATGACAATTTCACATTTTTTCATACTGTTTTGTGATTGTGAATCCATGAACAATTTAAGCATTTCAATGATGCATATTCTGTTATTCTAATTTTAGAGACTGTGATCTACAACAAAACTGATAAAGCGGGCTGGTGCTACTTTGCTTACTGCAACTCCAGTTGTGTTAGTGAAATAACACAGAAACCATGTCCTCAGACTACTACGATTCCAGTTTCAACTGTTCCACATGACTGTACAGATGTCAACAGAAAGGTTAAAAAATTGTTCATGAACAGTTTACATTTCTCAAAAACTGAATTTCAGCTAAATTACAAATTGAATTGAAGATAGGTCCATTGTATTAATCTCAGTTCATCAATATTTTTGGAAACTTTAACAGAATGGAGAGTCGTGGAATGAAGGATGTACCACTAAAAACTGCTTAAATGGGGATGTCACCACAAGCCCTGTACAGTGTGATCCAGCTGATTCTGTTATACCTACTTGTGTCAATGGACTTAAACCTGATAAGGTTTATTATAACAATGGCTGCTGCACTAAGTATGAGTGTCCATGTGAGTTTAAACCATGCTCTAGAAAATTTATGTTGAATTAATATTAATCATGATGGTTCTACTAAGCAATTAACTAACATTGTCCTTACTAACTAACATTGTTTAACTTGTCTTCTGAAATAACAGGTCGATGCAGTGGCTGGGGTGACCCTCATTACAATACTTTTGATGGAACATATTATGTTTTCAAAGGAAACTGCGACTATGTGTTGGTCCGAGAAATCATTCCGAAATACAATATCAGTGTCCATGTTAAAAACTACTATTGCGAAGTTACAAATAATTTCGCTTGCCCAGAGTATGTGATTGTGAAGTACAAATCCTATGAAATCAAGCTAGCAAGTAACAATACAGAAATGCAGGTGAGTGAGTTTTTCTGTCATTTACTGTACCTGACATATGCGAATGAATCAATATTGAGTCGAATTTAATCTAATTTAATTGCAAGTCTGTGAACTGAAATGCCCAGCCCTACTTAACACTGCTAGAACACCTACACTAGAACTGCAAAAATGTAATCTAAGGGTCAATATTCATTACAACTCAAAAACCCTTTTCACCTACAGGTCTATGTCAATAATGTCATAAAGGTCCCAACATTCTTTAATGAAGACTTCAGAATTACCACCTCGGGCATGGCACTTATTCTAAACATCAATGAGATCAAAGCTGAAATTTTAGTCAGTCATCAAGGTTTTGAGATCAATCTCCCGTTCTCCTACTTCCATGGTAATACAGAGGGACAGTGCGGTAAGTACAGTTTGGTGCACTTGTTGCAAAAAATATAACAGTATTTCTTCAACAACAACTTTCTCAAATAGGAAGACCGATTTGGAATAGGGATTAGCCTACTTTGTGTTAGCCTAGTATATTAAAATCATCTAGAATGTTCTATTGTAGAAAATTGTAAATTAGAAGTACCTAAAAAAGAATCTGTCTAGTGTTTCTGTCAATTAAAATTTTGAAATGCTGTCCTTATTTGTAGGGGTTTGTGACAACGATGCCACAAATGACTGCAGACGTCCCGGTGGAACAATTGACCAATCTTGTGAGCAAATGGCAGCCCTGTGGGCGGACTCACCAGGATGTGAAACCCCTACACCACGTCCAACCGAACCCCCTCCTGCTTGCGCAGCACAAAGCTGTGAGGTCATCAAGAGCGAGTAAGAAAAAGCAAACAACAATCACTTTGTCAATTTTCAGAAATTGGGGATTTTCTCTGACACTAGTCTCACCAAAAACAATGGCAAAAATGTATGACCAATCCTAAATAGTCTCATCCAAGACGTCATATAACTGATGTCTTGGGACGTCTTTTGACCATATGTCAACATCCGCCATTTTAGGGTACCCTTTAACGACGATCCTGGGACGTCATACAAATGACGCTTTACCTTTAACGTCAGTTAGGTGACGGGGTAGGTTTAGGGGTAGGTTTAGGTCTGGGGTAGGGTTAGGATGCTATAACGTCTGTCGTCATCTAACTGACCTAAAACGGCAGATGTTGACGTATGGTCAAAAGCTTTGGATGAGACTGCGCTGCCAATCCACCACCATTAGTCAGCAAAATGGTAGTTAGTCAATGTGATTTTGTGCCCAGTCCACTTAAACAAATTGCAATATCAAATGGTACAGAAATTACACGCTTTACTTTAAATAATGTTTTTTTAAAGATTTCAGAGGTCATTTTTGGGTGGTATTACCTTTTTTGTTGTTGTTTTTGGTAGTCCTATCAAACATGTTATGCCTCAGTTTACATACTACTTATTTTTTTCCCTAAACTTCTCTGTTTTGTTTCAGTTTGTTCAAGAGCTGTCATGACATCATTCCCTATCAAAAATACTATGAGGCATGTAAATATGATGTGTGCAACAAGAAAAATGACTCCATAGCCTGTGCCAGTGTGGAGGCCTATGCACAGCAATGTGGCCAGAAGTCTATCTGTGTGGACTGGAGAAACTCAGCCGACCTCAAAGGGCTATGCGGTAAGAGAGCAGAATGAACCCACCATGACACAATGTTGGATCTCTTATCTGACAGTATCCTGAATCTCTTGATTGTCATTGGTTAATAGCATACAAATGTGCCGATAACAAAGTCTACAAGGCATGTGGGCCAAAAGTGGAAAAAACCTGCAGTACAAGGTAACCACTCTCTATAACAATTCATATCGATAATTGCAAATATTAAAATACTGAATTGTCCAAATTAACAATCTTCATGCAATATGCGCTTGGTTTACGACTAGATACAATGAGATGTTTGTGGGCGAGAATGATCGAACATTCATGGAAGGTTGTTTCTGTCCCGACAACACATATCTAGTTAGTTCAACAACAGATAAGTGTACACCTACTTGCGGTAAGCATTATTACTTAATGTATGATATTTGTTATATTAATGTGCCTTGAAGTCAAACTTTCGATGATACATTTCGCATTCCCTGCATGTAGATTGCATCGGCCCTGATGGATTACCAAGACAGGTATGTATCTTTTAGTACCAGTAATAGAGGTAAAACTATTTACATGACATTTAATAGGATTGTGAACTTAACTCTAGTGACTAGTCCAAGGGTTGTTAAGTTGGCCCTCGAGGTCCACTTTCAGATTTCCACGGCTGTGGCCGAAATAGCCCCTTATACCCTCATTCACTCATATCACATTCAAACAATTTAATAATCAATAAGAAAGGGATTTATACCGATATGATACGACACTGTAGCCACATTGGACAAGCAGTTTGCAAAATGGAAAATCGATTTTAGCCGTGGGCGCCATATTCTGGTCAAACACGGGAATTCTTACAGTGCATTGTGGGTATTTTCTATCCATTGAGCGTACATCAGTTGTACACTCAATATTGCGGTGCATTGTGGGATTGAATGAGAGCACTCCATAACGTCCACCATGGTTTCTGACACCACTATAAATGGCTGTCCCTTCAAATAGTGCTACATTTCAGGGTATATAAGGCAATTTCTGCCACCGTCTAGTAATCCTAAAGACCTTGGTTAGCTTGTCTAGGTGTATTTGATCAGGGTTGAAGCAAAACTTTGCAGGAAAGTGGACCTCAAGGGCCAGTGTTAAGAACCCCTCCTTTAGTCCCACCAAGATATGATTGAAACTGTGTAAAAATTGCAGAGCATCCAGCTAAATTATGCTGAAATTCATACAAATAGCTGTATAAAAAAACTTCACTCATTTAGTCAAATTTAAAATGGCATTTGAACACAATGAATCAACCCAACTTGCATCTAACTATTATCACCTTATTTCCTCTCCTGTAGCCTGGAGATACATGGACGGTTAACTGTACAACATACAGTTGCTCCAGTGAGAGCTTTGGAGTTGTCCAAGAGCCTATGAACTGTCCGACCATAACACCCTGTGGTCACCAATACAAAAGCGGGATTGAAAACTGCTGTCCAACCTGTGGTGAGTAAACAAGCAAAATGACAATCAGAGAGCTAAACAGACTAAATTAAATAACATGACAACAAAAAACCTGTCCTAATATACATTTCTGGTCTACGGGTGCATGATACATCAACTAAAGGAAAACAAGGTTCATAATCATTCTTCAAAATGCAACAACTAGCTCCAACTCTGAAACAACTTTCCTGAAACATCACTTAAGCCACTCAGGCAGGGGAGGAAATGCTAACCAAAAGCCAACTAGCAAATGAATGAACAGTAACTGACCAACCCGGTCTCATCCCAAGACGTCATATAACTGACGTTTTGGGACGTCTTTTGACCATACGTCAATATTCGCCTTTTTAGGGCCCCCTTAAACGTCGGTAGATGAGGTTATGGGATCCTAACTCTACCCCAGACCTAAACCTAACCCTAAACCTAACCCGTCACCTAACTGACGTTAAAGGTAAAGCGTCAGTTGTATGACGGCCCGGGATCGCCATCTACCGACGTTTAAGGGGGCCCTAAAAAGGCGGAAATTGACGTATGGTCAAAATATGTCCCAAGACGTCAGTTATATGACTTTTTGGGACGAGACTGTGTTAAACTGACCGCAGGGTGATGTTAACATACCGATAATTAGAGCTGAAAAACTTTCAGTCCCATGTCCCAGTCAAAAGCAGTGCCATCCTCCATAATCCAATGCAAACCAGCATGCATGTCTGCCTCAATTCCTTTATGGAAACTCATAATGGAACCATTGACAACAATTGGATTTACAATTCCAATTCCTGGTGGAAAAAAAATCTAGTAGAAGATTTATTAGAAACTTTACAAAGGTAGATATTGAGACTGTGTGTAAGAGCAGATGCTATCTGAACATGTGAACACATATAATTAGAGCCACGGCTGCAAACTTGTTAAAATGCAACAAATATTTTCATAATAATATAAATAATACTCCCCATCTCCTCTGCCCATTTAGTGTGTGATACCAGCCTGTGTTCTATGAAATGTGACGTGGGATATGAGTTATCAGCAGATATACCCGAGAACAATTGCTGTCCAACCTGTGGTAAATCTCAAATTTAATATCTAGACTACTTTTACAACACTTGGAATTTATGATTTCGTTCAACTTTAAAAAACAACAACTTTTTTTTCCCTATTTAGAGCCCAAAGACGTCTGTGTACACAATAACTCTGAGTACCAGGTGAGCTGCTGGGTTCATGTGTTTATACTGTACAATTGGTAACATCAATAAAAGGGACATTTTACATATTACATGATAAGCTTTTCACCATTAAAAAAAATATTTTTCTGTAATTATGGGTTCATTTTCTTTTTTAGCCTGGAGTTAAAATCCCTACGGAGCCTTGTTTAGAATGTTACTGTCAAATGGATAAAGACCCACAGACTCAACTACTTGCGGTCAAATGTGTTAAGAAAGTCTGTACACCTTGTGCTGAGGTAATATTTACAATTTATTCTTGTGATCCGAATACATTAGGATTGAACTCCAACAATAGCCTATTTTGGATTGGGTGAAAGTTTTGATTGCTGAAAATTACAGTTGTTTTCATAACAGCATGCATCATGTTATCTCAAAAGATCAAGAAATGGATTCCTTATGATACAAATTAAATTTAAAGTACCATTTTTGCACTCCAAGGGCTTTGAGCGTGTGGAACAAGAAGGAGAATGCTGCGGAGTATGCAAGCAAAAAGCCTGCATATATTCTGCACCGGACAACACCACACATACTCTACAAGTACATTTGAAATATTCTCAAACTTTTCCTCAACCGTCTATTTCACCAGTCAATGAAGCTTCATAGTTTTTCAATGCTCATGTTGCCTGTCTTCCTTTTTTCTTTTAGGTTGGAGAAGTGAAAAGTTACAAATGCGAGAATGTTACCTGCAGTGAAATTAATGGCATGTTTGTAACGGAGAAGATCACACCAAAATGCCCTTACTTTAATCCAGATGACTGTGAGGCTGTAAGTCAAATATATACTGTACGCTTTATAGTAAAAACATGCCTCTGTCAACTGTATGCATTTGAATAGTTAGTTGGGAGTCAATAGAGTTAAATTAAGTAAATATGAAATTGACTGCATTTCCTTTTATTATTAAGAACTATTCATAAGCAATGCATTATTTCAAATTCCCAATTGATAAAACCAAACCCGACCCAACATTTTTCTTTAAGTAATGTCCTGTTTCACTTGGAAATCAATCAAAGAACAGAATATAAATATATACACACACATTACATCGCCGATAACTTATTTATAATAAGCTTCAACATTTTGTATGCATGATTTGTATACTTTCCACTAATTCTGTAATCTGTCTGTTTTAATATTTACAGGGAACTGAGAGATATGATGCAGATGGGTGTTGCAAGATCTGTAAGCTACTCATAATTATCGTCCATTTATTACCTCAAAATCAATGACCACAGTACAAGTACAACCAGTCCTAACATTTTTACAGCCCATCATAATGTAGATTAATTGTAAAAATGACTTTTTTCATTGCAATTCTCCCTCACCTGTACTAAAGATCAAAAAAGAAATCCATCATGAGTAATACATAAAACAATGGATCTGATGTTTCTTGTCACAAGTTCACCTCTTTCTCCTTCTCTCTCTCTCTCTCTCTCTCTCTCTCTCTCTCTCTCTCTCTCTCTCTCTCTTATCTCAGGTGAGCCCAAGACCTGCATTGTTCTGAAGAAAACCACCCAAGTAGAGGTAGATGATTGCAAGTCCATTAACCCCATAGAAGTGACGTCCTGCAGTGGTCACTGTGGTACCCAATCCATGTAAGAGTACACGCATACTAATTAATCATAAAAATATTGCATTTTGAATCCTGAGATGAATTGTGCTGCCTTGATTACGCAATAATTTCACCCAAGTAATAACCATAACATTTATTAGTTCTCTCTACAGCAAAACATGTCACTTTCATCAATGGCACTTTCATCAAGTCTGTTTGAAATTTAACCCATTACCTTTCCTTTTTATTATTATGCACTATTTATCACAATGCATCAATACATCATCAAATTCCCAATGGATAACATTAAATTGGCTAACATCAGAAGTAGAATTGGATACAAACTTTCACAATGACTTTAACTTAATTTACAATCATATTTTATACATAAGCATCGAAGATTTGAGAAACTGACAGCACACATTGCATATCTTAGATCATCACAGCACAGCATCCTTTTTCCATCTTTAGCACATCAGATATCTCATAATTACCAAATCACCCAAAAGAAATTAGGACAGGAGTATTTGATTAAATATTTATTTTGTATGAAAAAACAAGCTAATAAATGCATATTCATCTTGGAAACCTGCACAGGTATTCAATGAAAGAGAACATCATGATGCACAGCTGTTCTTGTTGCCGAGAAGAGAAATTCAGCCGTCGACCAGTGGCGCTGAAGTGTGCCAATAGCAGTGAGATCCTTCATGACTACGTTTACATTGAGAGCTGCACATGCACTCCTACAAAATGTGCTGACTAGAAGACTAGAAGATCTGACTAGAAGATGCTGATCCTAATCAAATCTTTTGCTTTGATTATAGCTAAATTAATAAACAGAACAAAAACTGTGTTTAGAATAATCTAACAAAAAAAATAATTAACGCTTTTATTCTAGGGCTATGGTTTTCACTTTAAATATGTAGACTATTTCAATAGTTTGTTTGTTTTTCAAGCTTTTTCCTTTCTTCTTTCCTTAATACAATTTCTATATAATTGTAATTAAATTAAGTGAATGTTCAACACAATAAAAAAAAGTTAACCTGCAACAAAGTTCATTTGCATTCCATTTCTTTTTATTCTCAGTTGTGCGTGAAAATGTTGTCTCCTCCAAACGAATTTGAGAGAAAAGGTTTAAGTCAAAATCAAGCAACTGTAAAAAGAAAAACAACTGTACTCCTCTACTGTAAATGTGAATTTCCGGGTACTTTACTGCAGTCAGCACAATGTATTAATATCCCTATGTCACGATCAAACAACTTGTTCTGAGACTGATGTATCCAAACCTTTTCAACCTCCAAGTGTACTAGATAGGTTTCTCAAAACTCCAAGTAAAAAAAGTAAACCTACGTACTTGTATACAGTATTATACAAGAAACCATACAATACCACATCACATCCATTATGATATAAACACTGGCTTCGTAAAACTATTTCGTGTATGAAAACAAACACATTTGTCAGTAAGGGGTAAATTAATGAAATAAAATCTTTATGATTATGAGTATAATGTTTAATTCAAAAATGCTCTCAAAATTGATAATCACCTAGACAGCACAAGCCTATATGTAATATTTACATCTGGAAGACATATTTTTAAGAGTGTTTGCTCATCTGCAATACGTCTATAGGACGTCTCCTGTCAGATGTCCAATAGACGTTTAGAAGATGTCAGTTTAACGTGCTTTCTAAATCATTACATCTTCTAAACATCTATTTGACATCTGACAGGGGACGTCCTATAGATGTATTGCAGCTAAGCAAACACTCTTAAAAATATGTCTTCCAGATGTAAATATTACATCAAATACTGGGAAACGATTCCCTGATAGCACACGTACACCCCAGGGACGTCTATTTGATGTGTGTGTTTACATCTGAAGACTTATTTTTAGAGTGTTTGCTCATCTGCAATACATCTATAGGACGTTTCCTGCAGATGTCAAATAGACATTTAGAAGATGTCTTTAAGATGTAATGACTTAGAATGTATGTTAAACTGTCATCCTAAAGAGGTCTATCAGATGTTAGTAAGCAGATGCTTTCCAGATGAAGTGATCTTTAACAGACATCTTGCAGACGTACTTGTGCTAGTAATCATATTCCCCAAAATCAGCACGTGTTAATAGCCTTCTGTTCTAAATATCTGTTCTTAATAGTCTGTTCTAAACATCTAGAACATAGACAGCATAAGGTCTAGACAGCCAGAGTCTGACAGATGAAAGAGAAAATAATTGTAATTAAAAGGAAAGCTCCATTCCATGTAACATCCTCTCACCTCGAAGTCAAGGAAATGCATCATTCACTCCTTTGCGCAAAGGAGTGAATGATGCATTTCCTTGATAAATTTCCTATGTTTAGTACATCAATATTTTGGCTTCACCAAATGAGCTCTCTCAGTGATCGTCAATAAAAACAAAATCCCATTTTTCTCGGTCTAATGAAAACCAATAGGTCGTTATGGTAAGTTTAAGTTTCAGTTTAAGTGTGAGTTTCACGTTTGACACGTTTTCCAAAGTGGACCAACGTGATTATTTCACGTCTTGTCGTGATACCGGGTTGGAGAAATGTTGTTTTGGCCACTTTGTTTGATATAATCACAACAATTTAACGTAAGCAAGAATGGGATTTAAACTCGTCTTGATTAAAGCCCAACGCTTTATCTGAGCCACTGAGTCTGTTGAGTTCAAGGGTGTATTGGTTAAGTTTTATTGCGGGTTTATTTTTATTTGTTGGAAAAATAAATATAGAAATATAATTTGACACAAGAGGGCAGTATAGCCCTATTTATGGTTTTGAGTTTAAATAACAGTTAAACCGTGACATCTACACGTTTTCCAAAGTGGACCAATCACGTCTTGTCGTGATACCGGGTTGGGCACTGAAGAACAGGAACTAGGTCGAGTAAAAGGTTATGGTTAACAAGGTTAACGCACGTCGATGTAATACGTTGTTTTAGCGTACCTTTTGCTCAAACGAGGAGCTGGGGGACGCCGGAAAAATAGACATTTTACTCAAGCTGCTTCATTAAAATCGTGACATTTAGACGTTTTCTTCGGTGTGGATCAAGGCAAATGAATCCTTTTCACCTTGAAAATAATAAATGTTTTTTGTATTTTAAATAATAGACCATGCAGTGATCGTCAATAGAACACAATTACATTTTTCTTGGTTTAATGAAAACCAATAGGTCGTTATGGCAGAATATAGGTCCATACTACCGTATCTCCACTGGACCGTGTTAACGTTTGAGGGTTAAACCGTGACATCTACACTTTTTCCAAAGTGGACCATTTAGGCTAAACGTGACATTTAGACGTTTTGTTTCGGCGTGGATCGAGGCAAATGATCCTTTTCACCTTGAAAATAATAAAAAAAATTTGCAGTTTAAATACCATTTTCTCAGTGAGCGTCATAAACAAAATCCCATTTTTCTCCTTTTAATGAAAACCGTGACATCTACACGTACGTTTTCCAAAGTGGACTATTTAGGCTGCTTCATTAAAAACGTGACATTTAGACATTTTTATTTTTATAAATACCATAAATATCTAAGTAAACTGAAAAAAGAGAGTGAATAGTAAAAATAAAAAATAAATGTGTGGAATAAGCCAGAGCCTAAAAGAAAGCTAAGCGACACTGTTAACCCCTGCACATACGGGCCAATCAAATGTACAGAAGTGACATGACGTAGTAGGAAGTGTTCCGTGCACATCCTGGCGTCTGGCGGGAGTTTCGGTTGTTATGAAACAAGGTGACGGGTTACCGACTGCAAAAGGCAAGAGCTATCAAGAAACAAGTATTTCTGAAACGGAACATTTATTATCAAATCATACATCAAACTCCAAAGGTAAGTGACAGTGTAAAGGTAGACTATACATTTCACGCGAGTAATTAAACGTCGCCACTTCAAAATGTCCGAATCTGACAATTGTTCTGTTCTGTTTTCTTTGCCTTTTTCCTATTTACCGTATTTCTGATGTAAGTTAGTCATAATCCAAATATTATTTGTATTTGTTTATTGGTTATAACGTTTCTAAACTGCCGAATAACTACAGTAAGCAGAGAATATAACGTTAGAATATAAGTAATACTACACACACATATATGTGTGTGTGTGTGTGTGTGTGTGTGTGTGTGTGTGTGTGTGTGAGTGAGAGAGAGTGTGTGTGTGTCATCATTTAATCCCTCTCGTATTAATCACAAAGACACAATGGCAGTTCATAGTGCTCCAAAAAGGGCAGAAATGATGCAGATCAAATTCTCTTTTTAGGATGTTCTCGATGTTTTAATTGCATGTTTTTATGTGACCTTATACTCACAGTTCTGGGCACATAACTTAGATGTCCAAGATGAAGGTTTCTGTGGAAAAGATCATATCGTTATCGGAGAGTGATGGTGTAGATGAGCTACAGAAGCATCTCACTATGTTGTCCGAGGATCAGGTTTGTAATCGATGCAAAAGTCTCTAATCATGTCATGTACAAGGCATCGCTTTAAAATTATGTGCAGATGACTTTCAAGTGTGCTTTTTTTTCTGCCTTTTCAGCTAACAACCATCCTTACTAATAGTGCTCTGAAAGGGAAGGATACAGGGGTCCTGATCAAAGCCATATTCAAAGGTAAGTGTTCATTTGATTTAATTTTAAAGAACCGAATACATCTGTGAATAGAGTATTAATACAATGGTATCATTCATGGTTATTATAGTAGTAACTGAAATAAAATTCACCATCACTTTATTCATTTTAACTAGATTCCAATGCAATGTACTATGTACTTGATGAACTAAGAAACAAATTCAAAATATTAATAAAAGCAATCATAATGTCTCTCTCTCAATAATACTAAAAATAACACTGGTATGATCAAAAACTTTTACTTTCGCGTGATGTTGCATCCATGTCTAATAGGTGTAAGTGTAAAAAAAACATAAACTAAAAATTACTCTGATGCTTCATCAAGTAGCGCTGAACATCAAATTGTGTTTGTGTGTGATGTTAGGTTCACCGGTAAGTGACTCACATGGCGCTAACCGAAGACTGCTTGTGTACAAGCACTGTATTCCACTGTGTGAATCTGGAGATCTGCAGACAGAAGTGGCCTCAGATATCATTGGGCTTCTGATGTTGGAGGTGAGTTTCTTTCTTACAATAACGTTGTACGCAAATGAATAGTGACGTAGTAGTGGTTAAAGGTCTAGGCTGGTAACCAGTAGGTTGAATTTTCCAACCCCGTATGGGGAAATCCCTGGGACTGAACTTGTAATTAAAGATTCACTACATAAATGTATTTATTATTATTAATTTTTACACTATTATTATTTAGTCAATACACCATCAATCCTTCTTTCAAAATGTGTTTTTGTGTTTTCTGTTAAGCCCATTATACATGTTTATATTTTAGATTGAGTGATGTTTTTCGCAAAAAATTGCGTACTTGCAGTTGTGACAATTGCAATGTAATGAGACATAATTGCACAACCCTATTGTGACGTAAATCGGAGAGAAACGGCTTTTCGAACAAGAAAGAATGTAGGCGAGACTTGATTTTATTCTTGTGGTTTGCTATTGGTGGGTCTTATGTGAGTGACAGGTTGCCCCGTCCTCAAGCCAGTAAACATCATCAGAGAAGAGAAGACCCTGCAAGAGGGAGGGTGTTATTTTGATTAAAGATTAAAGAGGGCACATGCAATATATTGCACAGATAAATAATTTACAAGAAACTCTTTTTGATGCAATATTCCATAAAAAGTAAGAATTGTCATTTTGATTTCATGGTGACTTTAATACTATACCTGTATGATATGGCTTTCTTCTGTGCCATAGACACACAGTCTACCTGGTCATGCATTAGCCACATTAGCATCTCTATATGTGGATGCCATCAAAGTGGGTGAGATGAACAGTGGGAGATCGCTGGAACTCTTCCCCACAATCCTAACAGCTCTTGCCGCTACAGAAACATTAGCTTATGGGAAAGGTAAGATGCTATTTGCTAAGCCCAAACTATTCTGTTAAAAAAAAGGAAATAACTCTTTAGGATCA